CGAGTTCGACACCATGTCGTTCAAGTGGTACCCCAAGGAGGCCTTTAACGACAAGGACAACCAGGCGCTCCTCAGGGAGTTCCATGACCAGGGCCCATGGCACAGGTACTACGATAAGGGCGGCAAGCACGAGATCCCGCCGACCAGCGAGGTGCTGACCGCGGGCTGGGTGTCGAGGAAGGAGCACACTTTCCACTGCATGTACACGCTGAGGCAGACGCACCTGTGGCTCATCAACGGCTACGACGCCCCGTGGAATTACACGCATACGCTGCACTGCACGAAGTATCTGATGGACACGATTTTGGAGAACCCGCCGAAGGACTTCGATGACCTGAGTGTTCATGGAACACCGTGGCCGGAGCACCCTGATGTGGTAAGTTGAGTCATGGGCGATTACTGGCACCTCATGCTGACGAAAATGATTGCAGGTGAAGCCATACTATCCCTGCAAGCAAGAGGGACTGAGTTGTGAGTCGTGGTGAGAGAGGGCACGGAATTAGCGGTGAGGTTGGGTGTTTCAAGTACATTCATAGCATCGATCAGAGCATTTGCACGTCAATCGAGTGGCTGAAGAATTCATCAATTTATCTAGACTTTTTATCGTTGCCGATTATCCGTCTCTGGAAAAACTTCGAGTGACGGCTGAAAAGTTCTGTTGCATCTTAATGATCGGCATATGATCACCCTGCGTCTATGCGCGGCAATCTTCGTGTAGGGTGACATTGGACTCGCATGGCGTTAGTGAGCAGCCTACGAGATCTAGACACTTGACCTTTGAGCCTGTCGTTCAATTTCGTTGCTGTAGATTACCGTGTGCTTTTGGAGCGACATTTCTCAATACAATCGCTGGTTAGGACACTGCTGCCCAAGCCCAAGGCTAAAGAAGCAGGAGATGATTAACGCCTGTGAAAGCGCGCTGTGCGGGCGAGGGAAGACCAATCGCGTAGCTTACAGCCCCTGGGCTGTGTCCTCTGGGAGTGATCTGGTCGTCATATTCAATCTTTCCAGAGATTTCACTCGCACGGATGGCAAACATACAACGCTTCCAGATCCGTGAACACGGCGGGAAATGCATCGCTTTTCTAGTTTTCATTCCGAACTCCTCGCATTCGACAGCCCTGGTGAACAGACTCTTTGCTTCACAATCATTAAAATACCGCCAAGACGCCAAGAACACATTAACCCAAAATTGGCACGAACAATGCCACGCTAATCAAAATCACAGATCTCGGTCGATGAGAAGAGGGCAGCGCGGATGGCAAGACCAGACGAGCAAAGACACATGGCCGATATGTCTCGCATGTCGAGGGAATTTCGCCGGGCATTTTCCCATTCACGTCTTTCAATTTCGTCGATCGCAAGGCAGGGGCGAGGTAATTTGAGCAACTTGACGCGAGGCGAGGACTGGTGAACTGACCGGACCCATGTCTTCATAAATCGACACAAACATTTTCCGCCAATTAAGCAGGCCGCAATCCAGCTTATGAGGGGTAAATGTGGACCGAAACATGGGGGTGAGAACCACCTGAAGCGGCTGGACAGTCTCGGGTACAGTGAACCTTTTTTCTGGTCCAACATGAGAACGGCTCAGCGCCAGTTTGCTTTTGCAGAGCCTGACTGACTGACGGACGGCCTCGCCTAGCTTCGCCATAGGGGCTAGGAGAATTAGTGATCACGTCAAATCATTACGGCAGATGGCGGCAATGCGGTGTTAGATTGACAGCGCACCTGCACGCTCCAAGGAGGCGGCGCCAGGCTAGACATTCCATCACGTACGATTCTTGGTATTCTAATTAGCTTGCCGCTCCCTGCATGTCTGGAAAGGGATCACAGCGGCTGCCTTCAAAGTTGCTCCTCCCCCAGCCGTGTTATCCACTCGGCCGAGGCCCCTCTTCGGTAGGTTCATCCGAACATTTCTGAGCGGCCCAGCGAATAGGCGAGGGAAGCCAAGAGCAGGTGCAACGGCCCAGATCCATCAGAGCCAAAGGTCAACAAAGGGGCCGTGATTCGACCTGCAGGGCGTCTTTCAATCCCTGAGCTGTGGACACTCCTCACATGTAAGTAAAACAGAGGGCCAAATTACGTTGCACGTCATAGGGAGACCGCGCCTGCAGACGAGGCCATGCCCTTGTTTGGAAGGTCTGCCAATGACGGGATCCTTATTTGAAACGGCACGCCAGCACGCGCTGTTGGCGCGCTTGGCTGGTGATAGCGGGCAGGTTTATTTCAAACATTCTAACGGACCCGAGGATGCGCATCCCGGGGTCGAGTGGGGCTGCCGAAGACCGAGACCAACACGGAGCAGGGTTCCCATGCACCACTTGCATCACTTCGCTTTTTTCGGCGAAGGCATAAAAAGCACTGCTTTTTTCGGCCGAAGCAAGCAAATTTCGCTTATTAACGTAATCTCTACTATAGAATAAATTGATTAGCTAGGTAGGGATATCTAAGTCTATAAGTGGTACTTCTATCTCTAAGCCCTCTAGAATCTGCTACTCTAATTCAACTAACTCTTCTTTAGTAATTATCTCCTATATTAGTAGTAGTAGTAGTAATAAGTAGCTACCTCTTTAGGTATATAAACAATCTAAAATATAGCTATTTATATAGATAAAAGCTAGCTTATTAGCTATATTAGGATCTAATCTGTTATAAGCGTAGTTATATATATAATTAAGTATTAAGAAGCTTCTCTTAAAAGATATAGATATAGTAATATAGCTAAGTAATTATAGGGCTAAAGCTACTAGTTATAACCTTATTAACTCTACTAACCCCTAAGCTATATATAGCTATATCTAAAGGTCCTAAAATACTACAATAGGGTAAAAAAGAGGCCTTTAGGCATACTATAGATTAATAAGCTTAATATACTAAGCGTAAGTAATCTTAAGAATAGAGGTGTAGCTATTAAAGTAGGTAAAAGTTATTTTATACTCCTCATTAGTTAATAGGCGCTTAAGTACTTATAGTATAAGGGTAGTAGCAACAATATTAATTAGGTATAACTACTTTTCGCAGTATATATTATACTTCTACTAGATTAGTAGCTAATTAATATTAAGGTTACTGCTAGCTTTAATAGCCTACTATATCTCTCATAGAGAGTCTTAACGCAGTAGTATATAGCTAAGGTAGGAGCAGTTAGCCTTAAAGGTCTTAATTATAGAGGTAATTAGCTTAAAAAGGCGCTATAAAGCCTCTACTTTAACCTAAAAGAATTTATTATTAATTAGGGTAATAATACTAGCTATAAGTATAGAGGTACCCTCTCTAATAGTATTAAAGCGTTATTTAGCGATATCTAAGTAGGCAATATAGTTAAGTAGGGCGACTTTAGAGTTAAGTATAGAGTAGAAGTATTACTCTATATTACCCTAGTGAGTAAACAATAAGGTAATTAGTAACTTCTACTTACTATTATAAACCCTCTTTTGCTCTTACTATAGGTATACTAACTACAACTTAGTATTATAGAAGTAAGCTATAATTTTAGCAGCCTTTTAAATAATAGGTAGGTAAAGTACTAACTTATAGATATTACTAATAAGTAGTTAAATACTATATAAGTTATAAAAAGTAGGTAGGTAGTAACAGAGAGAAGGTAGTTATAATAAGTTATTATAGAGAGATCTTATTATACTATTTATATCTATAGTAATACTATTAATATAAGAGAGTTTAATAATACCTTAAGTAGTTATAATATCCTCTAGGATAGGTAAGAGTTTGCTAACGCTAATAGTAACGTTATAAGAGCAGTTAGCAGTTACCTAAGTACACTAATAAAAAGCAGAGCTATTAAGGATATATACTAATATATTAATAACATAGTTATTACCTAAGTTAGCAGAGCTATTAAAAGTAATATTAAGGTAGGGCGCTTTTTTAATATTAAGTTAAACTTTAGTGAGAATATCGTTATAGATATACAGTAGGTAGATTTTACGTAAGATATATACTAATAGAGGCTTCTAGTAGGGTTATAATACTTAGAAGAAGTTATAAGACTATTAATCCTTATAGGCAGTAAAAATATACCTATTAGTAAATATAATAAGGGCTACCTTATAGTTCTACTTATTAATAGAGGTCTTAAACTCCTCTATAGTAGTTAATTACTAGAGGGTAGTAGTAATTAGAGGTATAAAGTAGGCTTAGGCGTTTTAGTATAGATTATATCTCTTAAGATAGGTAGCTTAATATATAATACTAATAATAGTAACTTAACTATAATATTTATACTAAACTTTTAGTAATTTAGCTATATTATCTGCAAAATTCTAAAACTATAGCTATATTTAAGAGGCTTTAGCGTTATAAGTAGCTATCGCAGCAGTTAGGTAGCAATTTAGGGTAATACTAGTTATAGGAGGAAAAAACGCATAATTTACAATCCTAGTAGAGGGTTAGTAGTTAAAAAAGGCTTGCAGCTAGCCTAATTAGGTAAAACGCGCTAGATTAATATATTATTCCGGAAAAGTGGGTCAAATTATTGCCTTTTTGGGCTGATGTAAAAAGCATGCACTATGCGAAAAAAGCATGATATTTGGAACCCTGACATGGAGAATCTCTGGCCCCCGGTCTGGCGCCAACGGACCCCGGCCTATCGGTATGCACCCCTTAGGTGCTCGAGATTAAGGAAACTTGCTTGAGTGGGGGTATTTCCTAATTGTTCAGTGCAAAGGATGCCAAGATAGAGACGGAGTGTTCCTGGTTGAAGAGATATAACATGAACACCAGAGCTGCCCCGACACAGGTCTTGTGTTTCTCTCGTTGTTTGTTGAGCCGCATCTTCGCTGCATTCCTTCCTTTTCGAGTCACCGCTAGTACGGTGTTTTGTCATTCTTTTCAGAAATCATCCTGTTGACCCTAGAGGTTAACGTTCGTTCTCTCACAACACTTACATTCACTTTTGGACAACCTCCAAGCCACTCATTCACCCCGATCACCTCTAAAACTCGAAATTAGAAGACACCTTGAAAGCGATTCTCACCATGCGTTACACAATCTCGGGAGCCGCGGCCCTTTTTGGGCTCGCCGGATCCGCCTCCGCCCAGCTCCGCGCCTCGGCTTACACCGATCCCCAGACCGGCATCGACTTCCAGCGATACAAGCCCGACGCCTACCCCTACAGTTTCGGTATTGCCGTCCCCGAGACCACCGGCACCGACTTCATCGGTCAGATGGTTGTGCCCATCTCTACCAAGGGCAACTGGGGTGCCGTGTCGTTGAAGGGAGGCATGTTGAACGGTCTGCTGTTCGTCGCCTGGGCCGATGGCGAGGACATCGTCACCTCGTTCAGAATGGGCAGCGCGTACTCCAACCCTGACGTCTACACCAAGACCGAGGTCAAGGCGACCCCCATCGCCAACGGTACCTTCGTCAACAGCACCCACTTCTCGTACACTTTCCTGTGCAGCAACTGCGTCGACTCCACCGCGACGACCCTGGCCGGCGAGTCTCCCATCCTGGGTTGGGCCTTCTCCGACACCAGCCCGACCACTCCCTCCGACCCCGCGAGTGCCCTCAACTACCACTCTGCTGGTTTCGGCCAGTTTGGTCTTGACATCGCCAGTGCCAAGTCCGCCAAGTTCGAGGAGTGGTCCAAGTACGCGAAGGAGGTTGAGACTACCCCCGTCCCTGGCAACGGCACTACCACTCCTGTTCCCGGTAACAGCACCACTCCCATCACCACCTCCAACAGCACCTACGATGTCATCGTCGTCGGCGGTGGCCCTGCAGGCATCATCGCTGCCGAGCGTATCGCTGAGAGCGGCGCCAGCGTCCTCCTCATCGAGCGGGGCCCTGCCAACACCGTCCCCCTGGGCTCTGACTTGGCTCTCCCCTGGAACGACACCCTCACCCCCTACGACATCCCCGCTCTCGGCAGCTCCATGACCTCCCTCTCTGGCATCAGCATGTGCAGTGACACTGCCTCCACCGCCGGCTGCCTGTTGGGCGGTTCCAGCTCCATCAACGGTCTCAACTTCATCCACCCCCCTGAGCACGACTTCCAGCGCTGGCCCAAGGGCTGGAACTGGGCCGACATGTCCGCCGCCGCCGAGCGTCTGTACGAGCGCAACCCCGGCACCACGGAGCCCTCTGACGACAAGAAGTACTACGACGACCTCACCTACAGGGTCCTGTCCGGCCTCCTGAGCGGCAAGGGCTGGAAGGAGGTTGACTCCATCGAGTCTCCCAACGAGAAGCAGGCCGTCTTCTCCCGCCCCTCGTGGTCCATCAAGGATAACCTCCGCGCCGGCCCTGCCCGCACCTACATGCCCTTTGCCCAGCAGCTGCCCAACTTCACCCTCAAGCTCGAGACCAAGGTGATCCAGGTCGAGCGCACCGGCAGCACCATCACCGGCGTCCTCACCCAGGCCGCCGACGGCAGCAAGCAGATCATCAAGGTCAACCAGGGCGGCAAGGTCGTCCTCGCCGCCGGCGCCATGTCCTCCCCCCGTATCCTCTGGAACTCCGGCATCGGCAAGTCGGACGCCCTCGCCATCGTCAAGCAGGGCGCCGCCTCCACCGGTGTCACCCTCCCCGCCGAAGCTGACTGGATCGACCTCCCCGTCGGCCACCACCTCCAGGACCACGCCCAGGTGATGCTCCAGTTCAACTCCCAGACCAACTTCACCGCCTACGGCTTCAACGCCATCGCCTCCAACCCCGTGACCTCCGACCTGGCTCTCTATAAGGAGGGCTCCGGCCCCATCACCCAGGCCGCGCAGCGCATGCACCTTTGGACCTCCGCCGAGGGCGCCGACGGCCGCACCCGCTACCTCCAGGGCACCGCCTCCGCCATGCAGAACGGCATCATCACCGTCCGCACGTTCCTCACCCACGGCACGTCTACCCTCGGCGAGCTCGGCATCTCCGCCTCGGGCAACACCGTCCTCAACACCAAGCCCTGGCTCATCGACACCGAGGACCGCAAGGCCATGTCCGACTTCGTGCAGTACTGGCTCGACCTCACCAGCGGCAGCAACTCCACCCTTAGCTACGTCACCCCGGGCGCCACCCCCGAGGACATCATCTCCACCAAGATGATCTCGGGCGACCACTGGGTCGGCTCCGCCAAGATGGGCACCGACGACGGCCGCTCCGGTAACGGCACCGCCGTTGTCGACCTCGACACCAAGGTCTACGGCACCGACAACCTCTTCGTCGTCGACGCCTCCATCCACCCGGACCTCCCCACCGGCAACACCCAGGCCATCATCATGATCACCGCCGAGCACGCCGCCGAGAAGATCGCCGCCTTCAAGGTCAGCGGCTCCGGCAGCAACTCGACCACCACCCCTGCCCCCGAGAACTGCAAGCGCTCCGAGAAGCGCGCTGCTCGCCAGGCCATGCGCTTCAGACGCCATGTCCACATGCACAAGTACTAGGTAGCCCTCAAGTGCTGAGCGGACACCACTGGGGCGGGGTTATATTGGTTGATGTCATGAGTTACACCGTCCCGAGCCTTCATCGTACAACATGTTTCCTTCTAGACTCTGTATAAAGTTTCTTTGCATCGTAAATAAAGCATTTTAGATCATTACTATTGATCTCCTATGAAGATGCTGAGTGGTGTTGTAATTTTGTGTGGTCTTTTGTGCCTCCCTTTAAAGGCATTCAGAGACAGTTCAGTTGAGGCCGATGCGGCTATATATAGCGTAGATGAATCAACCTGACCATGATCATAATTGAAAGCCCTGGCCCCGCCCGTTCCAGTGTCTCTTGAATCTCGTCGAACTTACATCAGTAGAAGGGACGGCTCATCACATTTAATTAGGAAATCCCCTTTTATGTACGCAACACAGTTGATCTGAATCCTCAATGCCTCTCCAAAGGTCGGATTGGGAGTAGAAGTCTGACAAGAATTCCATCCACATCTCTTATTGCAAGTATTTCAACCCACATAAGGGGCAAATCCGTGGATCCTTTCTACTTGTCTGTGCAAGACCTCACCTTCGGTGGATGACGTCTTTCCACCTTGTCACATCTGTATTCGAAGGAGATGATGATAGTTGAACCTCGCGGCGGTGAGTTGTCTGCGTTTCTTCTTCATTTATCCCGGCAGTAAGTTCAGGGCTGCAGCATTGAAGATTGGCTCAATCAGCGCAGCAAAGGTCACCCCTGTTAATACCACTGTCAATACAAAAGACGATTTCGCCATCATAAGCTTGTTCGTCGCTGGACCTCTGGCCCGGAGATAAAAACTAGTCACGGCCATTGCACTGACTCTGGCGGACGAACTTCGAGTGTGTACGGCCAGTATATGGTGATTGCCTGCGTCTGAAGCAGCTGGCGGTCTTTGGTTGAGTTATTTTCAGCACTCAGAATGTAAGGGAGTGGAAACTTCCACAAGCCAATTCAAAAACCCATTTTGGTAAGCTGCTTGATGTTCCGATAGCATCATGCTGTTTTCGTTCTGCATGAGGAATTCGAGGCTGATCTTGCAATACACTAGACGTTGAAGTACGAGCCCTACACAGCCCCAATGCACCAGCATTCGCATCTGATGCGGCACAATGGAAAGCCTAGTATGACGGAAGGATGTTGTGTTTCTTCGGTTTCCCAGGCTCGAGCCAGGAAGTCAACTGGCATGAACTGAGGACAGCCCTGAGGATAGCCCAGTCAACGGCAATCGAGAAACAGGTCAGCTTCAAGCGGCAGAAAAGCCGTCGCAGCCAGAGCAAGAAGTTCAAACGTGCCTGGCAGACGAGGAAAAAACTTTGGAGGACTCCCCAGAACCAAGTATGAAGAGAGTGGCCCCTGCCTTTGAGGTGCTCAAAACAAGCATGCAGGAGAGGGTTTCTGGGTTGCAGGCAGGCAGAGGCTGCTAAGCAGGCCAATGAAATTTTCCCCGGGTATCAGAATATCATTATGTTGAAGCTATAAAGTAGCTTGACCAGCTGTCTGGAACACGCTAGCAAACAAAGACGAGCTACCGACAGACCCAGTGAACCGAACTCTGCATGTTGCTTGCGAAATTCTCTCTTCACGAGCGAAGACGCCACACATTAGATTGCCAGCAGAACTGGAAATTTCCAAGTCATAATTGAAACAAACGCTGCGTTGAAATATCCTTCGATGCCTCTAAACGTCGACGATCGTAAACCTCAAGTTCAGATTGGCCAAATTTGGGTTTCGCGTCAACGGGAAGGCTCCGTTCGCTGCCCAAACCACCACTTCCGTAATATCCTTCAACCCAAGCTCCTCCTTGTGCTGAATAAGCATCCAGGCTGTTGAAGCGCCGTGGGTGCTTCCCAGGATAGCAAGACCCTCGTCGGTATCCATCTTGAATGTAATTCGTTGGTCCCATTCGGGGACCTGGGTATATTTTGCTCTTCGCAAGGCCTCCATCACGATTTGAAACGTCTTGTTATAGACAACGTGCGACCGGAAAATGACCTTAAGCCTCTTAGGATCATCACCTCCAGATAGACAGCCGTCTCGCCACTGGAAGTAGGCAATATCGGACGCCGTGTCTAAGTCGGGGATATCCCCTTTTCCATTCGTGCTCTTTGCATAAGTAGGGCTGTAGTTTGAGTCGAAAATGAATGCACCAGACTTCGGGTTTACGACGTTGGTGTAATGCGCCATCGTGGGCTGGCAGAACGAGAAGATTAGTACGATGGATCAGTTGAGGTGTCATGGCTCTGCTCACATATCCTGTTTGGCCATTTGCTTTCTTGAATTCCCGATCGTGGACCAGATTCCAAACTGTGTTTTCCGCTTTGTTTACCGGGAAAGCTGTGTCCTCGAATGCAGGGTCCAACAGGTTCCCGAAGTCGGGCCTTCGACCGCCCGCATATGGGAAGAAATAGACATTCGGTGTCCAGCCCCATTCCAAAACCTCCTCCGGGTTCTGGAACGGGCTGGCAACCGACGCTCCACCATTATATTCTTGCGCTTTTGCGGGATCCAAGGGCAGAAGACCCTTCAGCCATTCTCCCTTGTCGGCACGGCCTTCGTAAGTATCATCAAACCAAGGGAACTGTTGCTTCACCCGTTTAGCAAGCTTTCGATCGGAGGTAGCGGGCGTGGGCGATGCGCTGATGGGGAGCAAAAGGTTAAGGAGTGAAAGCCATAGGAACAGTACACGGAAGGTTCCCGGCGGAAATGAATGACTAGTGCGAGACATTGGTGAGGGTAAAGACTGACAGGTAGTTGGATGACGCAGCAACAACACACAGGATAATACCAAACATCTATCTACACACGAAAAGGCGTGTGCGGTGCTCAAATCCTTTAATAGGCAACATCATTGGAAAGGAATGATCGGCTTCGGACATTTCTATCATTGGAGAATATCTGGAAAGTTGATTAACGGACCAAGCATGGTGCCATGGGCCCGGCGGAGCGGGGCCGGACTGGCCGTTATTTAATCAATTGCGGACAGGCCCGTCCATGCTTGACTCGTCCCTGAGCACATAGATGCAGCCGTAGGCCGGCCACCCCGCAGCCGCAGCACGCGGTAAGCAGAGCTATTGTTGGCTCCAGCCCCTATTTTATTGAAATAAAGTTCAAGACATCACTTCAGTACTCAATGCACAACCAACTAAATTAAATTGCGCACTTTGGATGAACATGTTCAAAGATATTCACGTTTATTTTGGTTCTCTTGCCAAGCGGAAAAGCAATGACCATTAATAGGCATATATAGTGCTCCAGCGCCGAAAGTACGGGGCAGTCGTTTAGTCCAGATCAGCGCCGGTCCTTCATGATCACTGCTCTGAGGTTGTTGGTCCAATTTTATTTTCATACCCTCACATCTCATCGTTCAGCTAGTCGGTCAGCCGCCTTTTGGAAGTTGAACGTTACTGCAGCAGGACAACGGTAACGACATCAACGACATCAACGACTGCTATACGGAGACGACGACGATAATTGCGACGAAGATGACAGTGGCGGCCGTGGGTACGATAATAACAGAGACGATAGCGAGGTGCCCAGAACAGAGTTTGAAATAATCATGAAGAACTGCTCGGTCAAAATGATCAGACAGCTTGCAGTGTTCAACGTTAAGTACGTGCGTGAGAAGTTGTAGCTGTGACAAGTTAGGGAAGTGGCGCAAAAATAACATAAACATCCAGCAATATGGTGTCTACATACTTTGAAATGCAAGTTCTCTTCTGTTCCATCAAACTTATCACACACTGTTTTTTCCAGGCACCCCGCGGCTACTTGTGTCTCAACCACCTGGCGCTGCTATCTCCGGGTTGTGCGCTTCTTGTTCTCCAGGCTGAATGAGCTGCGTTAGCTAACCGCGATGTGATGAACCATCTTGTTGCACGACCTGAAAGATTACTAATGATTTCTAGCGGTCTTCCCAGAATGAGTTGATGCAGAATGACCCTGCCACGTATGTGGTGCTGATAGTCGCAGTGCGTTTCCTCCGAATCCTCTGTGGTGTCAGCAGTTCCCTGCAATACCACATCAATACACTCATTGTCAACTCTTAAGATGTCGAGAGTAGGGCATACAAAGATAAGCATGAAACTTCGTGGGTTATTTGCACGAGGTAAGTTGCTCAATAGCTTTAGGGTTGAAGTTCTACTAGCTAAGTGGTGTACCCCAAGCTTCCTCCTCATAAGATAGCCTTAGATGTTTTTCTCATGCTTTAAGCGACTTGCGAGTGCTGCCGATGTTTGAATTTGATCCTGGTGTTGGTTTTGATTAAGTTGGTGAACATATGGTTCAAACAAAGCTCCAAATTCCAATCAAATTGTCTATTGAGCTCTCAGCAATAGAGCCTACTTCCAACGTAACTGTTGACGATTACGAATTCCTCACCTCTTGCCTCGCATGTTAGATACAAGGCCAGAGTCTCAACAGAAGACTCCTACATCGGCGTCAAAAGAACACGAATTCGACACCAGAAGGCCAATATTGTGGTGTTGATAGATCTGTGTGCGTCGCGACCACCACATTGACAACCGTAAGGTTGGTATCTGGGCGTTCTTGATCGTCTGAGAGATGCTGTCGAGGCTTTTCTTGGCAGCCTTCGAGGAGGGAATTTTGCCGCTCTCCAAATAAGTCTTGAAATCGAGGTCGTAAGCCGTAACTTCCCCACCCTTGTTACTTGCGCCGTATTGAGGACTTGTGGCTGTCAGTTGACACGAACCGGCTTCTCAATTGCCGAACAACCGCGTGCTGCGATTTTCTCCGGTGTCTAGCTCGTGTGGAGGCCGGATGGGGTCGGTCGGCTCCATGTCTTGGTTGCTGGTGAGGTGATTCATTCGGCGGGGATAGCAAGACCTCTATGGTGTCCGGGTGATGCTCAGGATGCGGTGTACACGTTCTGGTCGCCTCCTCTCTATTTTGGCCTGGGCGAGGCTGTTCCAAGGAGGAAACCACTGATACTTCTGGGCTACGGGAAGAAGTCTTCTCCCTGGTGTTGGGTAGAGACCGGCTTTCGAAAGTCGGGAAGTTCCCTGGCTGGTTAGCCCTCTCGGTATTCAGTGATGTCGGCGTCACAGGAGAATTCTTAGGGCCAGTTTCATGGCAGACCAACTTAAGGTGCTGGGCATTGGAAGAGTGCCAGATGTGGCTGCTGGGAGATTCAACATCGCTTCTTCCAGTTTCCTGAATATTGGTAGAGTTCCTTGAACCTGTTGAGGGTGTGCTCCGCATTACTGTGACAGCATCATCTTCCACAACTTCCGTGTCAGAACCAGATCGCGAATGGTTGCGTAATTCGGTGCTTTGCAACTCGGATTCCGAATAGTTTCTCACAGGGTGCGGTTTTGTTGCGGTACTTGAGTGACTTTGGCGCGGGTCCTCCACGACAGCTTGATGAGCGAGCATGCTCTCGAATGAGTCAAAGCCTCGGATCCTGGCATAAACCTGTAGAGTTCGAAGTTCGCCTGCGTCGGCTTCCCAGTGTCGGTCAGGGCCGTCGAGATGAAAGGGCTTCAACAGTCGTACGCTCGTCCACATGAAAGAGTCCTCTCCATTTCTCTCGCACCGCATGACCGCTACCTCGCGAGACGACACCAGCGACTCCCCATCACCGTAACCTGCAGCCCAACCGATGATTCCCTCATTGTCAAATTTATAACAACGAGGCCTGGGCATATCTTTGTGCAAATTCAGATCGCAAAACATCTCATCCCGCCCACACATTGATAGATCCTTCCATCCCAAGGCCATCACCACCGACGCCTTGTTGGTCTTCAGGCAATTGGCCCAGTAGAGCTCCCCTGGCTTGGGGTTCAGAACGTCTTCCGATACGTACTCCTGTTCTGGTGTCTGCTGAGAGACCGTTGGCAGCGACAGACCTTGTTCGGGAGGAGGCGTGGGCGTTTCATGACATGAGCGGGGATCATATCGGCTTCGCAATAGGTTCATGGGCTTGTATCCCATTGCAAAAGCGTGACGCACGCAATCATTGTTCAGCTTAGCCAGCGCATCTGTACAATTGACGACACGGATGCCAAGAAACTCGATGGCCTGGCAGAAATCCTTTTTTAGGAATCCGTGGAGGGCACTATTGAGATGTTTTGCGGCTGCGATAAGAGCATTTTGTTTAAAGTGAACGCCATGCTTGTCGCATCTGCCATCAGTCAGTAGAGTATTCTTGATTTGGTTACTACAATGAAGCATACTTTAAGATGTAAAACTTGTTCGAGAATTTGACAATCGTATGCTTGAACTCGGCTTTGCCGTCTTGGTAAACTTCATCAAACTCGATTCTTTCATTACGCGACTTTGCAGCTTCGCAGTACCCATTGTTGGAAGAAGTTACCTCTGTTTCCCCGTTTGCTTGTCGGTCGCTTCGACCATGGATTCTCATCAGCTGGTCATGCCTCGCTGTTTGTCTGATATGGTCTGGTGATGAATTGTGCTTGGCCTCATTTGCCCGAAACTGAGCAATCCTTCGTTGGGAACGACCGTAGATTTCGGCATCCCGTGAGCTCGAAGCGCGGCCAGGGGGGCTGCTGGCTTCGTCGTGATGAAGCCTGTGGGTCGCCAGGGCCTCATATGAGTGGAAGTTTGTGTAAGACCTAGGCATCGTGTTGTCTAATGCACGGTCAGAACGAAGAGCAAACTCGGCATTGTTAGCTGGACGACGCGGTGATAAAATGTGCCTCTGCTGATACGATTCTTCTCGAAAACGAGCGTCGTGTGTTAGGGAAGCCTGGATTTGTGTTGGCCATGAGCGGGCCTCTGCCGGGGATGTCACCATGGCAGTACGTGCCAAGGCTGTCGCTTGGTGAATGGGCGTCGGCAAAAATGGTGTCTCGTCCTGAACTCGTGCTACTGATACTGTCGGCAGCGGAAACATTGATTGGTGCTGATGAATCACTTCTTGCTCCTCCCTGTTCAAATGATCGAGAGAATGTGCGTACTCTCTTTCACTCTCAGCCTTTCGAAATGCCCGGATCTCTGTTTGATATTTGTCAAAGAGGCTTGCGACGTCGCGGTCCAGGCGTTTCTGGTTTATGAAACAGAAGTCATTGTGTAATTCCCATTCCAATATTTGCTGCTGCCTGTGAAATTTGGCCGTAACGTCTTCTCTTGCTACATGGAAACGGCTCTGATGACTTTCCAATGTTGCAAGCCAAATGCCGCGCTTTTGGTCTAGCGCCGACTTTTTTACGTCAGTCTTCGTCATCATCGTGTAAGGGAAACAACGTGCCATCTTGGTTTTCGTATAGTAGATTTCAGTCAATAAAAATTACGCCTTGCTTTGTGAAGTTTCTGCAACCTTAGTTGTAGTGAAGCTCTGGTCCGTCAACCGGCATCGTCAGCGAATTCGCTCGCGCTGTGTGGTGATCGCTATGACTCGTTTGGAACGACTGTGAATATGTTTGACTAGATGGTGACGGCTAAGTGATGGAAGAAGGAATATCTGCAGTAAGACTTTCTTCGACTGCCGCATAGGCATAGAACTGGCAAAGGTGAAAGGATACTGTTTTGGGAGCTTCGGGAACTAGGTAATCAACGAATATGGTCATGGAATGGAGATGCTGACTCCGACTTCATAGTTTTGATGTTGGTTGCCAGTGTATTTACTATGGAGGTATATGGCTGTGAGCTGTGTAACAGTGCGCCTCTTCAATCTTTCTAACATACCTAGCGCAGACCCCCACCCCGCGTAACCCGCGTAGCCCGCGCAGGCCACGAAGCCCAACCCATCATAATAACCTCATAACGTCGAAGCGACATCTGGTCATTTCCGTTTCGTCGGAAAACGGTTCCCGACTAGCAAAACTATTGGGCGTTACCCATGCAAACGTGTCCGTATTACGTGAAGTCGCAAACTTGCCCATCGCTTGCTTCCGCCATCGACGAGACGTCTTAGAAGCGCTTCAAAGCTTCCCCTCTTAGACAGCTCATACAACTTTGTTCAAATTCTCATCGGCATCGTCGTTAATGCACTAAACTAACCACCCCTTCTTATGGTCAATGCTCGATGACACACTGCTCAATATGCTCTGCCATTCGAGACCCAGAAATTCGGACTGAAAGTGCGCTTGCGTCATCATTCCAAAATTCGGACTTAAAGTGCGATTGCTTCATCGTTGGAATTCGTACATAGAGTGCGATTGCTTTATCAAAAACTCATATTTACCGTAAGCATTGTCGCTGACGATAAACACACCCAAACGGAAGGGCGTAATAGGAGATTTGTCCCAGTGTCACGAAAAACAAGACGGACTTCAGGAGAAGTATCTCAAGTCACGGATTCATTGGCCTACTAGAGCCATTGAAGTACAGTGACCCAGGCCTCCACATGCAAACAACCTGATCTCATGCCAAATCGATCTACCCTTGTGATGAAAGGATTGTGTCCTACCGGCATCCACATGCTATTGTGTGAGACGAGGATGAAGCGCATCCTGCATTTGCCGATCACTCTTCTTAACATAGTTATACTTTATAACTTACAAATAGACTCGGCATTGGTACAACTATCTATTCACTTGATTAACGTTCAACATGGGTACGCATGCTGCTCCGAATATTTCTACGCGTATGATGATTTAATACTTCCTAAAATAGTTTCTTGCCGCCACTCACGGCCTTCGGTGTTATAGGCACTGATTCATGTCATTGGTTGGGGATTTCGAATCTCACTGTGGCCAGTAATGAGTGCCATAAGCCTGTGGCCTCTCCTCCATCCTCAGCTTGTACCGGGTAAAGGCTTTCACATTAGTAGATACAGTTCAGCAGTCAGACCCCAAGCTCGCTGCCTCAATAGCGTACCGTTGACTGACCTGGTGGATGTACCTAAACTACCTACTGCCATTCGGCTGTGACACTGCCGGTGGTCCTCCTGGCTTATCACAGAGGTATCCCCTGTGCAAATGTTACGCTGCTTTCTTTTTTTTTTGATCGTTTCTCGTCAAAGGGACCTGCTGATCTAGATAATATCGGCTGTTGTACATAAGCACTTGCCCTATCACCACCTCGTCGCTCCACCTGCCTGCCTTCAATGACGGCGGCGGGGTCTGGGGTCTAATGGGATGTCGCTGGTATGCCCTCTCTAGTTATTGATGCGTTCTCCGCTCGTTTCAAATCAACGCCAACTTACTTAGTCACAGGTAGGTTTCCGTTGCTGTGGGTGTTCATAGTGTCTTGACTCATTGGCACTGCCGAACCTTAGCCACAGCCAAAAATGGCAGTCATTCGGCGAGCATTGAAAGTAAGTCCACGTCTCTTTAGGAACAGACACGTCGCTTTTCTGTGTTTGGTTCAAGAAGGTTGTTATGGCTTGATCAACGTCATTCATGAAGCAGTCAAGATCACGGTGAAGGAAAGCGAAGTCACTTGAGAGTAAGTTTGAAGTTGTATCTCCGTGGACGACAACAAATCGCAGTACCATAATGGGAAACGACAACGATCATGACGACTACGAAGATCACGGGGAGCACACCAAAATTCGGTTCATCACAGAAAAGCAGGTGGTCTCGAGAGACTTGCGGTCCCGGATGCACATCTAGTCCGCAAAGTATTCTAGAAGTTTTCACCAAATACCAGAACGACTGACTGCGGGAGATGGATATGAGGCCTTCAGATATTGTGTCAAAAGTTCTGGTGCCTTGGAAGTTCCAATACATTATCCTGGATATCATCAGCCCGTTAGAAAGCTTCCTTGCGCCGCGCCGGAGCACTTCTCGCCTGCTCTGGAAATATTAGGATCCTGTCCCACACGTGTCACGAATCCTTATTTATCATTCGATGCGTACATAGGAACCCACCACCCAACTCGCATACTGACGAGATGTATGTAAAATCCCCGTGGACAGCTTTCCAGCTCATGGAACAGAGAATCTGTCTCTTCGTCGCAACGGTGTCAACATTCATCATAACCTAATAGAAAGAACTAAGTGAATAATCAACCGAACAGACTTAAAATAGAAATTAAGTGTTGTACTCAGAATTCAGGACCTATCTCGTCTCTTGCGTATCCCTCCCACTCCCAAGCAAGACGACGGCAGAAGTGTACTATTGAGGGGGGCCACGTTGAGCTATTCTGTTTGATGTTCGAACAGGCTCGCAGAAGCATCAGGAAACAGATGTCGCCGATGATTCATTCCTTTCAGAATAGCGGAAGCAATCAGATTTTGTCCGCACCTTAAAACGCGCAGCCTGCTTGCCATTTTATACCTTCGCGGAACGCTTCAGTCTCGTCGTCTTCAACCCCTAAGGGTATGAACATCGAGGCAGGGCACCAGTTGAGGATGTATCAACCAATAATATCTCAAACCAAACGGGCGGCAGATCATCATGGGCTCCAGTATTGTCTCCTAGCTTCTCGAGCTACTATGATGGGATACAGCAGATAGATGTATAAGCCCCCATTCGAGTTCACATCAGAATACTCTAGTGAATATTCTAAAAGAGATATAGTAGAACACTCGCAAGGCTCCAACGCCGTGTCAAGTCAACGGCTGCCCACCTGTCGCCAACGCGCGTTCCATCGCCGTATGCCTGGCGGCATATAGCACCACTTCAATGCGATTATATTCCCTGTCGCTTTCGAAATTAAGCAGTACCTCCCCCTTTTATACACCTACAACTCTGCAGTCTCACGCATTACCCTCCAGTAGTATCACAGCCCCTGCTGGTGTTGCCCCAATCCCCAAGCAGCTTTCTGCCATCATGCTTGTACCTTCATGCCAAATAAGTACAGGTTATAATTAACTTCAACTCCAACAGCAACCATAAATCCAGGCTATCAATTCAAGGACTTCAAGGCTCAGTCACTACAAGACATCAGCCACAACAACCGCGGCAATCGTGACTAATAACACTTATCACTATCAGTCATATATTCACCTTCACTCTCTCCTAATAATAGGACACTAATATCTAGCGTAAATAATATAAAACCTACCAACCTCTCTGTAATACCGCTTAGCCTGGCAGCTAAATGAAAACGTTCCTGAAACCCTATATCAGCAGTAAAAAAAAGAAACCCTTAGGTGTGAAGCGAGGCTGCGAGATAAAGTTGATTGGCGTCAGGGGTTTTGTAAGATAAGAATGGATCAGATTAAAGCCGCATACTTCTACCAGTTAGGATTGATCGACCTGAGTCATAGTTATCATATCTTTACATACACAAAAAGAAAGAAACAAGAAATGAAGCGCTAGGCTCAAAATTGTTGCTGCACTAGTCGACGCGGAAACGCGAGTGTGCTGCCAGCCTGCAGTCATATCTGCCAAGGCAACATCGACGTCGCTATTAGCTGTCTTCCAGATCAGATCAGGGGGAGTGTACTCACTTGCTGACTGCGTAATGTTCGGAAGCCCGATGACAAATCCGCTAATCAATTGATGACTGCATACTGTTTGGACGCTTAATGAGAAATCTGCTGATCAGGTGATGGCTGCATAATGTTTGTAAGCCCAATAGGATATCAATTGATGACTGACTGCAATTAAATATCGAACGTGTTGTATAAGACAGCCTCAGATACCGAGCTAGAATATGGAGGAGCCAGTTTCCCTCTCCATACAGTAACATATTGTCAAACATGCGGGCTGTCTATCTTGCCTTCGCTTCCGTGGCTTCTTTCGCACTGGCAGCTGTGCCTGATTTCGACACATGGGAACACGGCCGAGTCGCACTGGAAGACGTCAGCATCCACTTCCGCTACGCCGGCGTCGGACCACCCGTCCTCCTCGTCCACGGGAACCCTCAACACAGCTTGACGTGGCAGTTCATCGGGCCAATCCTTGCCCAAAACTACACCGTGATCGCGCCAGACAACCGCGGCGCGGGTGACTCGAGCATCCCTCCCGATGGGAACTACAGCGCAACAGCATCCGCGGCGGATCTCAAAGGCGTTCTGGACTTTCTCAACATCACTTCCGCTTACGTCTTGGCCCATGACAAGGGTGTTGGAATGGCGACGGCGCTAGCAATCCAGCATCCTGGCTTGGTCGAGCGTCTCGCTTTGGCAGAGTACGCCCTTCCAGGCTTCGGGTACGAGCAGATCGCGACGCCGGCTCCTTTTTGGGACTTATACCAGAACTGGCAACTTGCGTTTTTCCAGGTCACCGATCTGGCCGAGTTTCTCATGTCGGGTAAGGAGAAGCAGTTTCTGCAATGGTACTTCTATCATGGAAGCTACTCGGGTGCCGAGAGCTTTAGCGAAGAGACAATCAACAGATTCGCCAGCACGATCTCGAAACCCGGTTTTCTTCGGGCCATGCTCGGTCCTTTCTCTACCGGTACAGTCTTTGATGATTCAAAATTCTTCAAGTCATCGCTGGGTCGTCTCAAGTTGGAAGTGCCGGTCTTGGGCCTAGGCGGCGAGGCAAGCTTAGGGTCTGAGTCGGACTTACGTAACGCTTACGAGCCGATTTCATCCAACCTGCAAGTTGAAATCGTTCCGAAGGCGGGACACTGGATTCGTGAGTGATTCCTAGAATTCTGTGGATAATGCTAATGTTGAGACAGCGGATGAGAATCCCAAGTGGACTGCCAAGAGGGTAGCGCGATTCTTTGCGGAAGAGAAGTCAGACGTCAAGAGTATTGACTTATCGTACCTTGCGGATCAAGTTACGCTTGATGTAGGCTACTTTGGGACGAGGCGGAATAAAAAGTTGGCATTGCAGTGAGGTGAGGAAACAAGACTGGTTTAGCTTAGCGCTCTCAGAGACCCCTTTAACTGCTAACAGCGCGCCTTGTAAGGCACGTAAACCTACGAAGTTTCATGAATTAATAAATAAATTACAAAGCTGTTGTTAGTTACTTAGCTAAACTAAACCACCTAGGCTTCATATTAGCAGGTTATATATACTTATGTTAAGGTTAGGTGAAAAACTCGTAGAGAGTATTAGTAGAGATAGCACGCTACTAATAACAGGAGTAGGGAAAGGGAGAGAGGTATAGAGACAGTCACAACAGGGACGATAGAGATAATAAAATTACTAAGATAAAACAGACTACTAGACCTAATATGAATAGTTGTCCGCCCTCATGTCTATCTACATAGCAGGCAGGGGACCATGAAAACCTCTACCCGCCTTGTACGACAAAACTGGGCTTTACTCTACCATCGGGCTATCAGCAGCCAAACTCTGGATCCTCTGTCTGAGCAGCATGATGCGTGCTCACGAAGGTGTCCAAGACGAATACAACCACGAACACGGAGACGGAGACGAAGACGGAGACGACGTCGACACGGACACCACATCCGCATAACAGGTACCGCCGTGACAGGTAAGTGCTCTTACTCAAACCAAACTTCCATTCATCTACCTAATTCAACGCCGCTCACCCCTCCTCCAACGGCCTCCTCACGAAAATCTCCAAAACCCCCCTGACCCTCTCCTCCACAGCCTTCCTCTCCTTCGCCGCAGCCGGCACGCCAACCCTACAAACCGCTCTCCCACAAACCTCCGCGACCCTCCTCTCCCTCGTGCGCCGCCTCGCCAGCGCCGCCTCCGCCGCCGCATTCCCGCCCGTCAGCCGCCTGAAGCTCAGACTCCGCCGGTTGGGCTTCGGCATCGTCAGCGCTTCAACCTCGGACCTCGATATCGGCGCGAGCTCCGAGACGACCTTGGACAGCGTCGCCGTCAGGAACACGAAGGCGATGTTGTGGTTCGGCGCGGTGGCGAGGATGTCGAGAACGGCGGTCTTGTCGTCCTCGATCTCGGGAGCGGGGCGGGAGGTCGTGGCGACCTGCGGAATGGCGACCTCGATCTTGGCCCAGAGGGATGCGGTGATGATGCCGTCCGTGAGCCCTGACAGGAAGAGGAGGAGGACCTCGGCGATGACCTCGAGGCGGTGCAGGGAGGGCGTCTCAACGGGGAGGGCGTCGACGAGGGGCTGGTCTGTGTCGAGGGCCTCGATAAGCGCAAGCACCTGCGCGTCGCGGGCGTCTCTATCCTTGAACAACCATGCCGTGTCGTCGAACGGCCAGCCGGGCTTGTCGCCTGGGATGAGATGCTCCTCAATCATATTTGCGTCGGCGATGGCGCGGGAGGTCATCACTTCGACGGCCTCGGTGAGTTTGAAGAGCTCCTTAGGGGCCGCGCAATGGACGTCGAGATCATAAGGGATCGAGCCTGAGCCGTTGGGGACCCGTGACCTGACGAACTTGCGGTTTCCTCCGTCCGGAATGCGGATGAGTTCGTCGATCGATCTGCCGAAGCATGTCGGAAGCCAGGAGGCGCGGACGGGGATGAAGTGGTCCCTGCCGTCTTCCACGCGGAGGACGAGGATGTCTTCCAGCGATGAGCGGCCGTCGTTGAGGGCCCGCACATGAGACATGTCGCTGACGTGCACCTCCAAGACGGCGCTGATTGTCTCCCCTGGTTCGAGTGTTACCTCACTACCGAGGTCCGGTTGTTCTCCGTCTTCAACGTCGGCCCGTTTGAAAGATGTTCTGAGCCATGACGGCGAACTGGACGAATCAGAGTCGTCCTCGATGGTGGGCGTCTCGACAAAAGCAAACTTGGCAGGGACGCGCCCGGTGTTCGCGAGGGTCAGCGTGGCAGAATGCCTGCTGCGATATCCAATGTCGCCAAAGTCCACGGCCTCGCCGATATCCACCGCCCCCGTGTCATCCTTGGCCTGGAGGTCGTGGTTGTCCAGAATGACTGTGATGAGCGGCCGTCCCTCGTTTTCGGCCCGGTCCAGCTCCTTTGCAACCTCGGCGTGGACCTTCGCTTTCAAGTCGGGCACTACGGCGTCGTAGTCAAGTGTGAAGACGGAAATGATGGGCTTGTGGTCCGAGGAGATGATCCGTTGATGTGAGGTGTAAATGTCCAACTGTATCCTATCAGTGAAGCCTTCTTTCGTGACAACTTCCTCCGGCTCGTTGTCATCCTCGTCGTACTCATCGTAGTCGACGCCAGCTTCGCCAGTCGGCGGAGGCTCTTCACCGTCCGCATCTGGGTCGTAGTCGAACAGGACGCTCTCATCGTCAGTCGCATGATCAAGCCCCTGTGCCGTCATCTCCTCATCTTTCTTCTTCGCTTCCTCGGCATCCTTGACCTGCTGCTCGTACTCCTCCCTGTCCTTCCGTGTGCGGTACAGAATGCGATCACACCAGCTTGGGGCCCTCTGCTTCTCGCTCGAGTCAAATAGACTTATGGTCCCAACATCGTATTTATAAGACGGCAAAAACGTAATCGGCCCTTCCCGCCAACCGTCGTGGAAGGCCTTTTTCTCCTGGATAATCCTCCGGAGCTGGTCGTGCGGCAGCAGGGAATCCAGCGTGGCCTGCAATGAAGCAGGGTCATCGCTCGGGTCCGGCAGAAACTCGTCAGGATCCGGCAACGAGCTCGCCGAGTCGTGCTCACTGGGCTCCGACGAGAGCGTCGTTTCGATAGTGGACGTATCATCGTCGCTATCCTCCGCCTTGCCACTCTTGGAGCTCTTAACCACCAGCACTTCGCCGCCCGCAATGACCTTGCGCCCCCGTTTATCTAAGTCGTATTCTCCACGAGTATGCAGCAGCAACAGCCGTCGAATATCGTTTCCAGGAAGCCCGTCTACCCTAAAGTTTAGATCACCAAGCCAAAACGCAAAGTCCTCGTCGCCAATCTTCTCCGGCTCTGCGTCGTTCTCCCCGGCCAGGTTGATCGGGTCGAATTGTGTCCGTGACATAATCTGCCCAACATCCCAGAGTCTACGGTCAAGGTACGTTTGCTCCGCGCCGCTAGCAAGGTGGCAGTTGACAAATACCATGCGCGTCGTCTCGCCCAGCAGCATTCTCGTAGTCACTGCGCCCTTATTGCCGAGATATCCAAACAATCCCGTGCCCACAGAGACAGTGCTCACGTTGCTGATGGTCGGAGCGACCTCCGGAGATGCGTACGCGAGGAGGCACAAGCCTGACATTTGCTCTGCCGCCACCAGCTCGTAGCCGGGCGGCATGGCCGCTTCTAAAGCGTCCTTCCACTTGTTTATGGGCCCCGGGTCGGAGTACATCCGGTTCATGTAGTCCCTCGCCATGTTCAGGTCGACAATCTCCTGCAGGCCGAGCACGTACAGCCCGATCTTGTCGCCTCCGACCACGTGCACGGCGTCCGGCTGGGTGGCCGTAGCCGCGGCCGGGACTGGTGACTTTGGGTTCGAATTCGAGATTGGAGACTTTGGATTCGACGTCGTCGACGTGGGAGACTTTGGGTTCGAAGAGCTCTCAGCCACCTCATTGTCATCTTCAGCGGCGAGCTTGGTGTCAAGCGTCGGCGTGGGAGGGATGGGCGGGTTCGTCTCGACGGTCTCGCCATCGCCCACATTCAGCCGTGACAGGGCCGCATCGAGCCCGTACCCGTCCACGAACCAGCTCGCGAGGTCCTTGTCGGTGCCGGGGCACGCGGCGACGTTCCAGGTGCCGATCTTGACGCGGATGCGGTGCGGGCGGACGTACTCTGCGCGGCGGGCGAAGACGGCACGGGCGAGGGACTGGGGCGTCGAGGTGAGGTCGACGGGGTCGGAGGTCGTCGAGGGGATGGTGTCGGAGGGCGCCATCGCGGAGGGCGAGGCTTGCGGTGCCTTTGTGTGTACTCAGAGCAGTTTTTGAACTTGGAGAAAGACGTTAGGTAGGGGTTTTGGATGCGGATATGGGGGGGGCAGCGGCTGCGCCGGTGGGCTCGGGAGCGTTCGTGTGGGTTGGGATTGGATGGTGGTCGATCAGGCCGGAGTCGTCCGGCGCATGATGTTCGTATTTTCGGTGCAGAGTCGTCGTAAGTGAGGTCACGGACCAGGATGGTGAGAATTATGCGTTGGGGGAAGGGAGGCCGGAGGACGGGACGGGAGCTGGCCCCAGGATAGGTACCGAGACCGGACGAGGCGGCTGCGAAGCTGTGGTGTTGGTGATGGTATCGAGAGCACTTCAATATAGGTACCTTATGGGAAAGAAATGTGGGAGAGGAGAGAAAGGGTCTAGACTGACGGAACGGTTGAAGCACGAGAAGATGTGCCCAGGGATCTTGTTCTGCAGTGACAATACGTAGCAGTGACAGTCCAGTGTCTGTGACTCGGGGCGGCAGGGCGAGTCGGGTACTTTTCGGTGGGTGGCATCAGTGACGTGCATCCCTCCCTCGCTCCCTTTCCTCAGTGGCCAGTGCCCAAATTTTTGGGGGTCACGATGCACTGCCACAGCCGGCATTGGCGGGGTGAGTGAGCTGCGATAAGATGATCCAGCCACACGATAAGGCTGCCGGACCCACCTCAGAACTGACCTCATCCAAGGTGCTCGCAGCCTTACGAACCGCTCCTTCACACCTCGCGATTCTGTCACCAAACACCATCACCACCACCAGACAACACAAAATGTCCCGCCAAACCCCCCGCAAACGCGGCCACAACCGCCACCCCTCCACCGGCCCGCGCCCCGTCCAGTCCGACTACGAATCCGACGCCGCGCACTACCTCGACACCCACCCCGTCCCGGACCCGAACCCGGCCCTCCTCCACCGCACAAACACCGACCTCAACCTCTCCGTCCTGCGTCGCTACCTCCCCTCCATCAACGCCACCCTCTCCATCGCCGCCAACGCCGTCGTCTACACCTTCAACCCCTCCCTGCCCGGCTGGGACAAGACCGGCATCGAGGGCACCTACTTCCTCTGCATGCAGGACCCCCTCCCCTCCCCGCCAGGCGTCCCCCCGGCCCCGCGCGCCTGCATCTTCGTCCTCAACCGCCGCGGCCTCGAGAACGTCATCCTCGACCTCGGCGACGTCGCCGACTTCGAGGTCATGGACGAGATCTACATCTTCCGCCTGCGCGGCGACGCCGAGGAGAACAAGGTCATGGGCATCTGGATCCACGCCGACAAGGACGACACCCGCGTCATGAACGCCGCCATGATCGACGAGACGCTGAAGCAGGTCCGCGTATTCCAGGAGAGCGGCGCCTCACAACAGCTGCCGCCCCAGGAGGAGCAGCTCGGCCCCGCGATGCAGGCCATCGGGAGGAAGCTGAGCCTGAGCGACCTGTTTGGCGCGCAGAACGGGGTCAAGGGCTAGGAGCTCATGGTGCGTGACGCGAAGGCTAGAGGTGTGGAGTTGATGATGAGGAGTCAGGGGTGGGAGGGCGCCGCGGAGTGGTGTAGAGGATGAAAGTCAGGTTCATGAGCATCTAGTCTGAGTAACAAGACTATGAAGACGGATGCCAGCATTACGACAACGGCATAGAGATGAAGACTAGGGCTCGATGAGATGAGCAACGGAAAAAGCAATGATACCCATAATTAAGAAAAGTCATTTTTCATACATGAGAGAAAAAGGGGCAGGAGACACACCCCGCCTCAGTCGTGACACAGGTCTAGGAGCCATCCTCTATTAATGAAAACCCCCCGAATCCCATTTCCGGCCGTGAACCGCCATTACCACATGAAAACGTCCCCAGAGCAGCCTGGCCGCAAACTCATACCGTGCCGCTGATGCTCAGCTCCCGAATCTCCTGCAACACCTGCTCGACCCGCTGGTCCAGTTGTCCCTGCGCGTACTGCTCTCTCGTGTCGGCGTCAAGGTACTGCTGCACCTGCGCCATGCGGCTGTACGCCTCGGCGCAGAAGCGCAGCTGGATCTTGACGAGCGCCTCGAATGACGGGTCGAGGTACGGCACGCGCAGGTCGATGAGCTGCGGCAGCTCCGTCGACAGCTGCTCGTTGAGCTGCTCGTACGCCGCCTTGGCCATCTCCATCTCCTTCTCGGCGCGCGGCAGCTTCGTCACGTCCTTGTCGGGCTTCTCGACCAGCTTCTTGACCTTGGCGCGGAGGGCGTCGTAGTCGAGGAGCTTGTGGCCGCGCTTCTTAATGCCTGCGGGGTTATGGTGTCAGTAGGTTGGCCGTCGTGATGGTGGTGGGGGTAGTGAGCACGTACACTCGTTTACGTCGGGAAAGTATGCGCAGAAACGGGAGATGGGTTCGAGGACGGCTTGTCTGTGGTTTCGTCAGTCGCTGGACTTCGCAGACGGGGAGCCGCAAGAACGTACTGGTACGGTCCGTCGAGCGCCTTGATCGTCTCGGCGTCGAGATCCTCCACGGCCTGCTTGTAACTCCTGCTCACGCCGTCCTTGGCGCCCGAGTCGCCGTAGAACGCATCTATCGTCTCGGCGATGCGCATCTGGGACGCCGTCATGGCTTCAATCCGTCAGCCTAACCAGTCACCGTCCTTCTTGGCGACACGCAACTCACCTCGCAACGAATCAAGGTATCCCTTCGCCTCCTTCTGCAGCCGTAACGATGCGGCCTCCATGGTTCTGAATCGTCTGTTGAAAAGGGAATGCACGATCAGCAATTCGGTCTCGGTCGGACGGGTCGCGTGTGTGCCGTGCTCACCTTTCCTCAACCTCGTAGTCTCGGTCGTTCGTCTTCTCCACATGCCCTGCCAAGCGTCAGAACCGATGGTCGGGGGGGAATGCCGTTGGATGACGAACCCGTCTTCATCATCACCTGCGTCGTCGCGCGGTTGACATTCTTCTTGAATCCTGCAGCCCGTCAGCCTTTGCTCCTGCCCATTGTGTGTTTCGCGGTCCCTCTGCAGGGGAGGGGTTTGGTTTCGTTCGGTTTCGCGAGTGGCGTAATGCGTACCTGCCCACGACATCTTGCCGGTTTCCTCTCACTCAGGCAAATCCACTAAAAAAAAAACACAAAATGCCAATCGGGGAGTTGTGCTCGTTCTGCTGAGGTATTAATTCTCGCGTGTCGTCGTCGGGTATCTCTGTTTCGTGGTAGGTGCGTGCGTCCTGTGAGGGTGGGAGTTTGTTTCGTCGTCTGAAGGTTTGTTGTAGGTGAAGGGGAAGGGCGGCTTTGGTGGTTTTGATTGCGCGGACGAATCACTCAAACTCAGGCTGGGGAAACCCAACGACAATGGAAGACAGTACAGTGCAGTGCAGTGTAACAGTGGGCAGCAACAAGCGGGAAAACCGACGTCAGCGACAGAGGCTCAGACTGCGCCACGTCCTTAGCGGCCTTGGCCCCTCCAACAGGTGCTGTGGTGTGCCTAGCCCGTGCCGGGTGAGCTGTGGCGCAGCGCTGGCCGCAAGTGCCGCTTTGCCGGGTCCACTCTGGTTGGGCTGCTTTTTTATGCTTAACAGGGCTGAATGTGAATCACTTCAAAGATCAGCAAATGAAGGAGCCAGCTTCAGTTGAAAGTGTCTCCAACTTCAGATTATCTCGACTGCTTTCTCTTTACTTCATTGTGAGGGGAATTGCACGTGGGAAGATACTTTCTTCTCATCCCACAGTCCCTTATCCTACAGTCCCATGTAACAGCTGAGAAAGCAAATCCCCTGTGTCCATTGCTCATCCAAACTATTTGTTCTTCCAGACTCCAGACTCTTGGTTGCCCAGGCATTTATCTAGTACCGTTTCACCTTTTCCTTTGTGCTGTCAGTAGCTCCTGGTGATGGTGTCAGCTTCCTTTTCAAAGTGCAGAGTTGTCACCAGCAACTGAACTATCCCTCGCTTACATAACTCATCCAGGAACCACGAAGCTTGTGCACAACACCTTAGGTTCCTTCTTATGCAGCCTTATGCAACGCGGCCCCCACCTCCAATCGCAACCTCCAATTCTTCAAGCTCCAACCGTCACCCAAAAATCTCCAAAATCCCCGAACCCGAACCCGAACAACCATCACCTCCCACCCACACCGCAGCCGACGCACACGATGGCGGCCCCAAAACAAGCCGCCGCCCGCATCCTCCTCATCTCCCTCGGTAACCCGCGCCCCTACACCGACACCCTCCACTCCGCCGGCCACCGCATCCTCAAGCACCTGCAGACCTACCTCCCCGCCCAGCCCGCCTTCTCCAGGACAACCGACTTCAACAACGGCAAGGGCTGCCAGGCCTCCATCGGCGAGCGCTACTCCCTCCTGCAGTCGCCCACGCAGATGAATGTGTCAGGCGGCTTCGTCAAGCGCGCCTTCGAGCGCGAGCTGCGCCGCATGGGTGGCCGCGTCGACCTGCTGCATCTCGTCGTCGTCCACGACGACCTCGAGCTGGGCCTGGGCGACGTCCGGCTGCGCAAGTGGTTAAGCAGTCACAGGGGCCACAATGGCGTCAAGAGCATCAACAGGAACCTGAAAAAGTCAGACTACGAGGGTGCGAGGTGGGCGAGGATATCGGTTGGCATTGGCCGGCCTGAGGGGCGCGACAGGGAGGAGGTTTCTAGCTATGTGCTTCGTCCCATGACGGACACAGAGACGCGCGCGCTGGATGAGCTTGCGGTTCCTGAGGTCTTGCTAGCGCTGGCTGATTTCGAGAAGAAGCTGGAGGAGTACGCAAAGCTTCCCAAGTCGCAGGCTGCAGAATGAGGCCCGCCGGTGTGGTTCAGTTCCTCTCTATGCATACCACGGCGGAGACGGCGTGCTTATGAACGGGCCTGCTGCACATGGCTTCCATATCCATTTGCGACTCTCTCAGTGCCGGCCGACGTCCTCCGTCGATATAAGCCTCCGATACCCGCCAGAATTCGGTCTTAGCTGCAGCAAGCCTCCGCTCAAGCCTGGTCCGGTCCGGGTCGACCGTCGAGCCACTTGCTCATATACGGCCCGTCAAGCCAATACCCAAGCTTGGCGTAGTAACTCCTCACACCAACACCAGAAATGACACTAATCTTCTCACTGCCATGCTCGTCCCTCGCTATCCTCTCCGCCTCCTCCATGAGGAGCGTGCCGAATCCCTGGTGCTGGAACTTCTTCGGGTCGCGCGCGTGCACCGGCACCGCTGTACCGTACACGTGCAGCTCTCTCACGAGACTGGTCGGCTGGCCGACGAGCTCCTCGCGGTAGGTGTACTTCTCGGTACACTTGCGCAGACGCAGCAGGGCCACGAGGATGTCCTGCTTCGGGTCCTCATAGGCGAGGAACGTCTCCCAGCCGCCGTTGGCCGTGTAGTCTCGTCGCACCAGCTCAATCTGATTCGGCCGGATCTTGTTCTTCACCTCGTTCACGCCCACCTCGCGCGTCCTCACGTCTCGACATGTGGTGCCGAAGTCCTTCATCCTCGCCAGCGCCAACTCGCGGAGGTTGCCGTTCTCAACGCCGGAGGTAACCAGGGGCATAGGGATATCTCGCTGGACACGGTAGATACGGGTCCATGGCGGGATCAATGCCAATATCCTCGCGACTAAATCGATGAGCCCGTTTGGTGTGTAATTCTGGTAACGTCCTGTGCGCCACAGCTCGTAGAGACCTGTGCCTCTGATAACAAGCGTCGGGTAAATCTTGAGGCCGTCCGTTCGGAAGGCGGGACTCTCAAAGTACTCCCTAAACTGGTCCAGGTCTCTCTCCATGCCCACGTTCGGCAGGTCGGGCATCATGTGGCTGACGACCTTGAATCCAGCGTCCTTGGCGAGGCAGAAGGTCTCGGCGACGGCAGCAACCGTGTGGCCGCGATTTGTGTCTCTCGCAACGTCCTCGTAAAGCGACTGCACTCCAATCTCCAGTCTCGTGCATCCGTACCGCAGCATGTCGGTCAAGTGGGGCTGCCAGCAGTAGTCTGGTCTCGTCTCGATCGTGATGCCGACGCACTTGATGTTGCTCATCTCGCTGGCCTCCACTGCCTCGTCCACGTTCGACGTCTGGTAGCCGCTCAGAGCGTTGTGCAGCTGTGCGATGAAGTCTTCTCTGTAAGAGACCGGCAGGGACATGAAGGTGCCGCCCATGATGATGTACTCGACCTTGTCGACGGAGTGGCCGAGGGACTTGAGCTGGTCGACGCGGCCGCGTGCCTGCTCGAAGGGGTCGTATCGTGCTCGAATGGCGCGCATCGATGTCGGCTCGTATCCGGTGTAGGATTGTGTGCTGTACTCAAAGTCGGAGTCGGGGCCGCCTGGGCAGTAGACGCAGATGTTGCCGGTGTAGGCGATGTGCGGACACCTGTGAGGCTTGCACATGACGGCAACGACGGCGATACCAGATGATGTGCCTGAGATGTGTAAGTCTGAGTCTTGCCGTGGGGAGTAAGAGAGACCCACGGATTGGCTTCGCAATGAGCTTCGGTAGAATGTACTTCTTGTAGTGCTCGGGAATGGCCGCGATGATGGCTGTCAAGGGCGGGATGTTGGCGAGCTTGTGCTTGCGCGCAAACTTGTTGCGCAGGGAGTTGAGGTTCAGATCTCTCTGGGGCTTCTTGGGATCGCGGACGGCCTCATGGTCCTCGATCAGGGCGTTGGCGATGTCTGCGCAGCATCGCAGGAAGCGCTCGTTCTCGGGGGGCAGGTTGACATTAGAGGTCCGCGTCTTGGTGACGGTGGCGGTCGCGGTCGCCATGATGGAGGGTGATGTGGGTAGTTAGATGGAAGTTTCGTTTCGATCAGCAATTTTCGGGGGTCTAGTTTCGTCCAGCTCGTCGTGGGTTTTGTTGTTTGCAATGTCAATCTACGCAAGGTCAAAGAGCTGGAGTCACCTCTAGTCGCTGTCCCTCACTTCTGGGAAATTTTGGAGGGACCGTCAAATGCAGGCCGCTGGCGTGGGATGGTGGGGTAATCAGCCACACCTTGACAGCAAACGCACCGCCACACGTCAGAGGCCGTGGGGTGCTGACCGTGCCCCAATCTGTAGCCGGTTATTGGCCCGGCCGGAACATCCTGAGTGGCCGACTGGTGCGGGTTTTCCCGGGCTGCAGGCCCCGTGGCTCGCGCTGCAGACCCGATTGTCTCGAAAGAGCTCGGTTCAAGTTTTGCTTGGTGCCAGTTCGACCCTTCTTTTCGGAAAGTGACGTGAATTGCTGCAGCTCCTCCTGTCCTGTCTCTTTTTACGATACCTACCTTACCGAGATACTCCAACTTTGCAGCATCTCGCTCTCCTCGGCCACTCTCCCCTCCATCCTCCGTCCTCCCACCGCCCCCCACCGACTCGGTCTCTTTAATTGCGCCACACCGTTTTGTGCTGCGCATCCTTTCCTTCTCCTTTAAACGCACTTCCCACACGCAACCACACAGACGCCCAGCATGCAGTCCTTCTCGAGACAGATGCGCCCGGCAGGCAAGCTGCTGAACCAGGCCGCCAGACGGTCCTACAGCGCCGCCGCCGGCCCTTACACCAAGACCATCGACAACCTGCGCATCAACGGCGAGACCAAGGTCCTCTTCCAGGGCTTCACCGGCAAGCAAGGAACGTAAGTGGTGTTATCTTTGTCCGACGCCCGCGGCCCCTGGCTCGGCCAGCTGGCGATATCAGGACGCAGCAGCAATTGTGTGGGCAAGCTGGCTAACACGTATCTCCCTCGCGATAGCTTCCACGCGCAACAGGCCATCGACTACGGTACGCGATGCTATTTCCGAACCGCAATTGCGCATCCCGCGCGTCTATAAAGACAATCTCCGAGGCTGATATCTTTTCTCCCCCACCCGTGTAGGCACCAAGGTCGTCGGTGGAACGAACCCCAAGAAGGCCGGCCAGGAGCACCTCGGTCTCCCCGTCTTCGGCAACGTCAGCGAGGCCGTCAAGGAGACTGGCGCTACTGCCACCGCCATCTTCGTCCCGTACGTCATCACGTCGCGAAAGAAGCTTACTTGAACATATCAAGAGAACCGAGTTGACACCCCAGCACACAGCCCCCCTCTGGCCGCCGCCGGTATCGAGGAGGCCATCGCCGCCGAGATCCCTCTCGTTGTCTGCATTACTGAGGGTATCCCCCAGCATGGTACGTCGCCATACTCACCTCGCATCACACCCCGAAGCTTCCCCACCAGCAAGCTCCGATAAGCTCACACTCACCTCGACAGACATGGTCCGCATCACCAACATGCTCAAGACGCAATCCAAGACCCGCCTCGTCGGCCCCAACTGCCCCGGCATCATCGCCCCCGGCCAGTGCAAGATCGGCATCATGCCCGGCTTCATCCACAAGCGCGGCCGCATCGGTATCGTCTCCCGCTCCGGCACCCTGACCTACGAGGCCGTCAACCAGACCACCCAGGCCGGCCTCGGCCAGTCCCTCGTCGTCGGCATCGGCGGTGACCCCTTCTCCGGCACCAACTTCATCGACTGCCTCAACGTCTTCCTCAAGGACGAGGAGACCGACGGCATCATCATGATCGGCGAGATCGGTGGTTCCGCCGAGGAGGACGCCGCCGACTTCCTCCGCGCCAACAACACCGTCAACGGTGGCAAGCCCGTCGTCTCCTTCATCGCCGGTATCTCCGCGCCCCCCGGCCGCCGCATGGGTCACGCCGGTGCCATCGTCTCCGGCGGCAAGGGCGGTGCCGACTCCAAGATCTCCGCCCTCAAGTCCGCCGGCGTCATCGTCGAGCCCTCCCCCGCCGGCCTCGGCAAGGCCCTGTACGACGAGTTCGTCCGCCGCGACCTCCTGTAAATCGCTCGACGTTCAGAACTCTCGATGAAACCATCACCTCCTGCGTGGGCGAAACCGTAAAGAAGAGGAGGAAAATACTAAGTGAACCTGTGTATGTAACATGTTAAAGAGACCTGTTTGAAGCGTGGTAGCAGTCCGCCGACGCGGTGCCCAAGGCGCGCTCATCCGGGCGTGGAGGAAACGAGGCGATTTTCCTGCATCGTGTGTCGTATGTGTGTACGTCGTCGAGATGTTTGCCGCCGCGCCGCTTCTCCCACCACGAAACTCGATAGACTGGAATTCGGCAACGCTGGGCAGGGAGGGAAATTCAAGAAAGAATTAGAGGAAATGCTCCAGTTTTTTCCTCGCGTGCGCCGTGTATCGTGGACGTGCCTTATATGTATTTCTGCTATGGCGTACTTGCCGACTGCTACACAAAACCGCCCCCCTCCCGCATCTAATTCGTCCCGTCGTACGACTCCCCATACCGGGGGTGGAGGGGAGTGCCAGGGGTCGTCCGTCTCCGAACCCCGAGGGGAAACAATCACGCCTGGGCCGGCCCGACGCAGGTAGAAATATGGGGCGAGCAGACGCCGGATCAATGGATGCAGGCATTTGGCAGACACCTCAAACAGCTTTGCCTGACCTTGTGGAGGATCCGTAATCGGGGAATGTGACCTGACGAACCTCGAAGCGCTGAATGCTACATTCCGTACATTCGCTTGCGGGGAATTTGGTCTCCGATCTCATTTGCACGATAGATTTGACAATGCTCTACTTTGTAAACGTAAAGCTTGAAATTCGGAGAAGCGAGAAACTAAAAGACGACTGTAAGGTCTGCATGCGGTTCCAACTGTAAACTCCCTCCTCCTTTAACGCCATGTCCGTGATGCAGGTAAGAAACAGAAGTCTCTGGTGACTTTTAACCAATGTCTGATGGAGGGAGAGCACTCCGGCCGTTTGCCTATTCCCGCCTCAACCCCGGGGCCGCCCTTCGAAACGTGCGCAACGGAAGCTGCGTGTTCGTCGTGCCGCCATGAAGTTTGGGGAGACAGACAATCCGGCAGCCTCGTAAAAAAAATTGAATATGTATGCCGAGTCCATGCGTCGTGGCACAGTCCTCTCCCCTCTTGTGCGTGAAAAAAAGCAAGATCCGGCCCCCTCCCCGTCCGCTCGCCAGCCATATTCGATGCCCGACCCGCCCTGATTCTATAATGTTTAATGTGACTCCCTGTTCGATGCAATCCCCCCCTCTCGACATAATCCATTCCTGTTCAATGTGATGCTTCCCCCTTCAGTGATGATGTGATGTGATGTCGCTGTTTTCGGAATCACAGGGATCATTGTTCGCCGAGGAGCCGAGCAGTGATATCGCCCATATACGCTTCCTCCAGCTCGTAGTCCTCCCCGCCGTTGCGGTCGATACCCACGAAGACGAAGGCCTCGACAACGGCGTCGACTTCAAAGCCCATGTTCACGAAGCGGTCGACGAGGTCCTTGTTGAAGCCCATGTACCTGTTTTTCCACTGTCAGTCGGATATCCTTCCTGCAGATCGCTGCACGACCAATGGCAACCCACCTTTGGGAGTCGTCGCCCTTGGTTACGGCCACCTCCTGGCGGTACTTTGTCGTGTCAAAGTCCTTCGGGGGCGCGCCGGCGTGCAGGACGGCCCACTCGTGCGCCTTCTTCGCGAAGGCCTCGGGGTTCTCGAGCATCATCTTGGCGACCTCGGCGTCTTGCGGGTCTTTGGGGTTCGGGAACTCGAGGAGCATGCGGAGGGAGAGGAGGGCCGTCTTGATCGTCTGGACGGGGGACCAGCCGGAGCCGAGGGTGTCGAGGCAGATTGCACCCTGGTGGGAGATGTTGTCAGCTGATGCCACGAAGGGGATGAGAGGGAAGACCTACGGTCTGGGAGCTGACGTTGGGGTGCCATATCTTGGTGTCGAACTTGATGATGGGCGACTTGAACGGGTAGCTGTCTGGGATCTTGATATCGACCGTGTACTGGCCGCCAGCGTAGGGGGTGTCGGGGGGCGCGGGGAAGGTGCCCTTCAGGTGCAACAGATTGTTCTCCTGAATCGGCTGGGCGAAGACGCCAGAGTTGTCCTGGTCGCTCCTGATGTCGTTCAGCTCCTTGAGGATTCGCCTCTCCTTTGGGCTCGACATGGTGGGTGGCTTGGTTGTCTGATGATGGAATGGGTTGTTTGAACTGCTGTTGTTGATGTTAATGCTGTCTCTCACTCCTGTCGTTGTCCTCCCTCAAAGATTCCTAGTGGGGATTCGCAGTTAAAAGGTGGTGAGGTCAAGTGAGGCGCACTGAAGTGTTTGGGTCTGGTCGTTCTGCAAAGCGGGAGGGTGGAAAGATGGAAGGCGGACGTGCCCCTCAGAAAGATGATGCTGGAAAGGTCCGTGCGGACCGGCACTAACATTAGCGCCCTTGCACCCGCTGGAGGGGAAGACCTGGAACGGGTCTGTGGGGTTCGGAGGGGTTCTGGAGCATATGTCACTGGTGCTGTCATGTTTGAACGTCTTATTGCAGCCAATTATTATGTACTGCACAGAGCTGAGTGCTGAGGGTTGATGGTGATTGGGCTGCTATATTTAACGAATCAGTGAAGATTGATATGTCAAATGAACAGACCTTTTTGCTTTGTCTTGTTAGATGAATATTCCTAAATGCTAGATAAAAGAAGTGACAATAAAGATCACGGGACAAAGGGACAAGGGGAATAATGAGAGACTATAAACAAATCGTAAATGGACTGAGAAGAATGGCTGAAGTTAGAACTCAGTGATTTTCTCTCAGATATCTAGGCCAAGTAGCTGATTTTGGAATCTCAAAATCCTACCATAGCAAGAGGCAAAACTGAATTTCGAGTGCCTCTATGCATACGACACGGTATCCATCTCTCCTCAATGTACTTAGTACTAGGGCCCTAATCGTTTGGCTTTTTTATTCACAGAATTACTGCCACTGATCCAGCTGCAATATCGTGCATATTTAGTAATGCCCACATATGTTTTTGTCGGCTGCTAAAGCTAAAATCAGATGCCGTATTGTCACAAATATATGGTGTATCCGGGTGATGTCCCTTCAACTGTTTGGTGATCAAGATGCCCGCATGTTTCCTCAATGAGATGCCTGCATTTATGACTTTCACCTGATTCCAAGTTTTATTCAATTGCCGTTCGCCCCAAGGTTGTGTGGCCAAATATTGACGGTTGAGGCTTTCGGAGACCGTGTGTGGGCTGAAAATTCAAGCCCACCATTGCGGTCTGCTGCGAAGTTTGTGACCCCACGACCTGGGTGGCTTGTCGGTCAATATTTAAGCAGTCGGCAGTCGTGAAGGATCACTTTGTTGGCACCTCCCAAATTCATTCAATATCCTCATCTGGTATCATCATCGCCAGCATGTCCCGTTCAGCAACTCAGACCGTGGAAGGTCAAGGCCGTAGTCTTCCTCCCTCAAATCGTCCTACATACTGGCGTATCCTAGATTCCTACATCAAAGACCAAACAGAGAGCCCTTTCAAATGGAAAGTTTCATCCTACCACGTCGCTCCGGGCTACCAGAACCAGCCGCAGTACTCACCTTGGCGCCTCTTACTCATATCCATGCTGGTTGACCCGCATCAGCAAAAGGCCGACGGCACTTTAGAATCGTGGGACGAAGAGGAGCATGTAGTGCCAGACTCGCTGGTTCGCCAGCCTCTGAACAGCCCCACGGACGAGCTTGACCAGAAATGGGGCCGCCGATATGTGTTCACAGACGTAGCACCCCATTACTCTTATGACCTGGCTGGGGTTGGCAGCCTCGAATGCGTTGGCAATTGGCTCATAGCTGCCCACGTATGGGGAGAGAGCCAAGACTGGGTAGATAGCGTGGACATCAGACGCCTGGCAGCCTTTTCGACAGTCATACGGTAAGCCACTCCCGTCCGCATCTCTGATCCGACACGTAGGGAACTCGACTAACCTTAGCCCCAGGCACGATGTTCACCACCGGGTTGAAGAAAGGGGCCCAGACAATCTCCTCCTTCATCACTGGGACCTGGTCTACCAGGAGACGTTATCTAAGGATGGCAAGTCGCTTGAGGTGGTCGATGAGCCAGTTGATGACGAAGATTTTGCGGCCTTTGCGACGGCGGCGTCGGCGGGGAAGCTTGCATCAATCCACCAAAACCTCGGGAAATTGAGGGATAAGGAATGCCAGGTTCTTAATGAGAAGCGACAGCGGCCGGGGTCGTGTCCGTGTGCGAGAGACCCGTCATACGTGATAGTTGACGAGGCTCCTGTCAATGAGTCTTCTGAGGATGAGGCCATCGCTCCGACAGCTGATGAAGCTCATATGAAAGAGTTTTTTGAAGACGAGGCCGTCGTGGTTGAGAAGCCTGAGAGCCAAACTCAGACCGCCGATGGAGCCTGTATAGTAATGTAGCCGAAGACCTCTTGGATTGTTTACTTGATCTATCAGCTTCGATGATATGAGGCTTCTTCTTGCCCCTTGAAAATTGGTTCAACGAATGGGATTGTTTAGCGATTCCCAGAGGCATACTCTAACATGAATGAGAATGGAGTCGTAAAATATGAAGGGGCTGTAGACACCGTGGCATCGATTCGCCCAAGAATTATGACATGGGCTTCTGGGTAAGCAATTCAGAGAACAATATAACTAGAAGCGATAATGACAACAAGACCGATGACGACTAATGATCACAGACAAGGATTAGACAACAATAATAACAATAATAATAATAATACCAGTAATGACAGCAGCAGTGCGAACAGCAGTAACGATGATAGTTGTAAAGAATATAAGACGTAAATCCATAAGAAAGTAGCATTTAATGTTTAATTTTGTTGAACGCATCTCCGAGACTTTAACAGTTTGCTAATAATTCCACGATGCCTTTACTGGCTGTTAAAGAAGCGCTTTTACGCGTAACAAATACCTCGTAGCATGATTGAGGCCTTGATAAATCCCACTAACATCAGCCTTGCGAAGCAACCACAAGAGTTCATCGTCGTACACGACTGGCTAATATCTCGGAGTGATCTGAATCGCAAACGTGAAACTTGGAACATCTCCCTCAACGCGCCTTTCAGACCGTGTTTGATCGAGATCGACGGCTTCGACATGTCTCACAACTTCCCTTTCAGGGGGAATTTTACCTTGACACAGAGCCTCGGAACGTACTTCAGCTTCTCTTTCAGATAGCTTTTGGGCAGTTGGATTAGGCTTTTGCCTTCCGCCGCTATCCATAATGTCGCAGAATGCGTTGATGTACGCTCTGAGTTGATCGGAGAAAATTCTAGGCTCTGTGCCGACCCGTTCCCTCTTCTCCGCGTAAGACTTTGGTTTTGTACGCAGGAGATCGACTAGCGTGATCGAATGTCCAGCCGATATGCGCCGATGTTCAGACATCTTGTACCAATCCTGACATTGTTTGGTACCTGAGTGGGAGTCAAGCAACCTTTCATGAAACTTTTGGCTGGAAATGTCAGTCAACCTTGTTTTACCATTAGAACTTGCTTTTTCTTACCAAATACAATGCGAAGACGCAACGAGCTCCCCTATATCCACAGTTTCTAGCCACTCCTTGCTCTCCCCCCAGAGATAAGCAACAACCAGCCATTTCCCGTCGCTTTCGTGAGATTGGCCGGAGGCCGGTGGTGAAAATAGAAACCGGCGGCCCCATCTCTGCTGTTGCTTGCCATAGGGAGCAACATTAGAAGGGCGGTGGAGGGCTGCTTTGTTTTGTGGGACGAGATGGTCGGCCCACGACCGAAGGCTTGTGTCATGCACAATCTGATGTGGAAGGTCCATCAGCATGAATCTGAGAAGCAGACACCACGGCGAGTACTGCTGCATGGATGGGTGATCGAAGCCTGGAGCCACATGGTTGGAGGAAATCATCCACAGGAAGGGAGTGTCTTTGTTGTGACCGTGGGGGGACTTCTCTGCAGTCGGATGTCGGACGTTCCACCACGGACGCTGCTCAATCGGAGGAGGTTGTCCTTCCCATTGTGCGGTTCGATATCTTTGACGAGACATAGTGTTGTGAGTGACTTGAGGATCAGTTGATTGTGGAAATTCAGAAAAAGCAAGGTATGATACACAGGCGGTCTTTTATTATCAACCAATTTGAAGTCCTGGCTAAAGAGGTGCTGGATCTTTAGTCGGAATTTGCAAATTTTATGGCCAGTCCACAAAACTTTGTTTGCCTCGTGACTCTCGTGGATCTATCTTCCGTAACCCTGAGGGGGAAAAATCGCTTCATTTGTCCCGCCCTTCGACGTCATGCGAGCTCATCGACGCCCCCGTGGCGAGGCTCCGAGAGTTCAGGCGTAAAACGATTCGCTGGGTTAGTTGCCCTGATACCAAAACGCTAAATCGCGATGGCAAGCATGGAGTTGCCGAAAGGCTAAGAACCGGGCAGGCCGGCTTGGATGGTGGACTTGAGCGTCAGGTGGGAAGTTGCAGGTGATGTGCACAGAGCGCATAGGCTTTTGGGGGATAGAGCGTGCCGTCACGACTGCGTAGATATCGGGGAGGATGATTGGGCGAGGTAGGCAGAGGAAGAGGTAATCAAAAGGAGAAGTAGGTAGGGGTGGAGGTAAGTAGAGGGTGAGGTATATTCAGAGAAGGGCAAGTAGAGAGAGGGGCAAGTAAGGTGAGGAAATAAAGATAGAGGTGCTGTGATAAAGATGTCATAACAGGCGATGATGGACGACAAGAGAAAGGACAACAAGGGCGACAAGAACGGCGAGGAAGACGAAGACGGACGACGGCGACGGACGACGACGACGACGGACGACAATGATGGACGACAAGAACAAGGACAACGAGGACAGAAAGAATGACGAAGATCAGTCAATAGATTCAGCAGCTCGTAGATCCATTGAAGAAGCACTACAATGAATGGAAGTTAAGATACGTCAGTAAGGACCGTCTACAAAGTAGCAAGCGTCGGTCAGGTTTGGGTACCAGCCCTGCGGCCGCCTTAAAAGTGGAGAAGCCGGCGCCGAGGGACGTGGAGCAAGTCCGTTCGGGTCCCGCCTACCACTTTGAGGTTTGGAGGTGACTAAGCAGAGCAGAGGCACGTGACCTCGGAGTGCTCCTTCCGGAAGAGGGATAGCCCGAGGGAGGGAAGCTGAGGTGCGCGTTCCTCTGGCGCCTGCTGTAGAGGGTCTGTGCTCAAGGTACGAGGCAGGTACGGCCACAAACGTGCTTACCTACGCAAGACGCAAGCAGTAGCAGCCTCGCACGTCGACCTCTACCCTGGCCTGGTCGGCTGCATCCACTCAACTCCATCATCATCACAAGCTCCCACCACCACCACCACGCCGTCCAATTTTTGCGTTTATTCACACACGAGACACACATAACAGCTACAGAGACGACGGACGACGGCTAGAGAGACGCCATGGGACAGAACCAGAGTGGAATGGGTGGGGGAGGCGACGGCAAGGACGACAAGGACAAGAAGGTACGCAGACAGACGCAGCTAACCAACCCATCGAACAACGCCTTCAAAGCATCAATGTAACTGACGTCTCTATAGAAGGAGAAGCCCAAGTACGAGCCTCCCCCACGCCCTACCACCAGAGTCGGCCGCAAGAAGAGAAAGGCCGCCGGCACCAGCGCTGCGGCCAAGCTCCCGGCCGTCTTCCCCACGAGCAGATGCAAGCTCCGCTTGCTGCGAATGCAACGAATCCACGACCATCTCATCCTCGAGGAGGAGTACGTCGAGAACCAGGAGCGTCTCCGCAAGGCCAAGGCGGCTAAGGAAGGAGCTGCCGTCGGCCCCGAGGGTGATGTCGACCGTCTCGCCGACGAGCGTGGCCGGGTCGATGACATGCGTGGTAGCCCAATGGGTGTCGGCACGCTCGAGGAGATGATTGATGACGACCACGCCATCGTCAGCAGTACTACTGGCCCCGAGTACTATGTTAGCATCATGAGCTTCGTCGACAAGGATCTGCTTGAGCCTGGTGCCAGTGTCCTGCTTCACCATAAGAGCGTCAGCATCGTTGGTGTCTTGACCGATGACGCCGACCCTCTCGTCAGTGTCATGAAGCTAGACAAGGCACCCACAGAGTCATACGCCGACATTGGTGGTTTGGAGACACAGATCCAGGAAGTCAGAGAGTCGGTCGAGTTGCCCTTGCTGCACCCCGAGCTCTACGAGGAGATGGGTATCAAGCCGCCCAAGGGTGTCATTCTCTACGGTGCTCCCGGTACCGGAAAGACCTTGCTCGCCAAGGCAGTCGCCAACCAGACTTCGGCCACCTTCCTGCGTATAGTCGGAAGTGAGCTTATCCAGAAGTACCTCGGTGACGGTCCCCGTCTCGTTCGCCAACTCTTCCAGGTACGCACAATCACTCTCTACTACTGTCATATTACTAACATCATTAGGTCGCCGGCGAGAACGCCCCCTCCATCGTCTTCATTGACGAGATCGATGCTATTGGCACGAAGCGTTACGACTCGACATCTGGAGGTGAGCGTGAAGTCCAGAGAACCATGCTGGAGCTTCTGAACCAGCTCGACGGTTTCGACGACCGTGGTGACGTCAAGGTCATCATGGCTACCAACAAGATCGAGACTCTCGACCCTGCCCTTATCCGTCCCGGACGTATCGACCGAAAGATTCTCTTCGAGAACCCCGACCAGAACACCAAGCGCAAGATCTTCACGCTGCACACCTCCAAGATGTCGCTCAACGACGACGTCGACCTCGAGGAGTTTATCTCACAGAAGGACGATCTCTCCGGTGCCGACATCAAGGCCATTTGCTCCGAGGCCGGTCTGCTCGCCCTGCGCGAGCGCCGTATGCGTGTGCAGATGGCTGACTTCCGGTCTGCCAGGGAGAGAGTCCTGCGCACGAAGCAGGAGAGCGAGCCCGAGGGCTTGTACTTGTAAGAGTTTCACGTGTATGACTGGCATAGATAGAGACGGACGAGGACGAGGGCGGACGAAGCCGGACGAAGCCGGAGACAGACAGCTACGATAGAGATAATAGCAAGCATGTCTGATGACAGCCCGCATCGTGCATGACAGGTGATGCAGGCGTGGCCTTTTGAAGGGGACAACAACCAGCTTTGTAATGTTGGGAGACAACCGAAAACCCTTTCCAATCATGTTTGCGCTACTCGGTGGAACTGTCTCGATCACGACAGAGTCCTGCGAACTGAGCAGGAGTCTGGGCCGTTTCAAGCTTACAGCAGTCCCTTCCGTTGCTTATAGGAAACCCGATGAAAACTATGCTGAACTTCGAACTCTGGTGAAGATGCATTCACAAGATGACAAGGACAGATACAAATACAAGCCTCATGGCCCACTCTCCTGCGTGCGGCACGAACCTCCCAAAGCCACATCGTTTACTGCCGTAGACATGTCGGAAGGGCTTTCTGCCTTCCAGCACAGAGGATGGCAACAGCAGCTAGAGTCCGTCGGTGGCCAAGGAGAGGACAAGCAGCACTCCCATCAACGAGGACGAGAAAAGACGCGGACAAGCTGTCACTGTCTCTGCTTGCAGAGCAACAACTCCCTCCAATCACCAAGCAGGTCTATAATAAGAACGAACAATCTCGACCTTGAACGGCCATTCAACTACTATCCAAACCACCATCTCCAACACGCTCGCATACTTCCGAACCGCCCCTCAAACCATCACTTACTAATACCCCTTAACCCCAAAACTCACCACGGGTCTAGGCCGGGCAGAATTGACCCTGGGCCCGCATCCAGAGCTTGCACAATCCCCGGTCTCGGCAACGTTGGCCACGCGGAAAGAGACGAACTCTAACTTCGCCCCACGGCAAAACGCATGATTTGAGGATATGGGTGCTTACCGAGAGGGTGAGCTGCGGCTGTTTCGACTCAGGGATGGGCCCTGGGGGACGAAGGCGAATGTTTGGGTTTCCCCCGCTCTTGCAGAAGATGGGAATCTTGAAATTGCGAATTTGATGGAATTTGGTATTGCCGCTATGGAAAGGTACAGTCTAACACCCCGTCCCGAATGAAACGAACTCCCCGTTGCCCGAGAATGAAGATATTCACAGATTATACACTAAGCACTTTTCTTTTTCATCATTGCACCAGCCGCCGCAACCTGTCTTTGTCGTACACCGGCACCGGCACCGGCGGCGGCGGCGGTGGCGGCGGCGGCAGCTGTGGCAGCGGCGGCAGCGGCGCCTCCGTCACGCCCTCCTCGCTCCCGTACCGCCACGCCGACGCCACGGACGGCGTGTACGCCGGCGCGGGCGTGTCGTCCTCCACGTCGGGCGGCGGGCTCGCGTACCCCTGCGGCACCTCCCCGTCACCCGGCGGGCCCAGCAGCGCCACCTCGCGCGCAATGTCCGCGTCCATCACGGCGGAGTAGTACCCGTCCATGGCCATGAGCGCGTGCCACAGCGGCTGCGAGCCCTCGGGCCACTCGACCTGGCAGGCGAGGATCTTCTTGGCGGAGGTGCGGCGGTCCTGGTAGGCGACGGCGTTGCAGTCCTGCCGCGCGAGGATGATGGTCCCCTCGACCTGGACGCCGGCCCAGAAGCCGCGGGACTTGATGTAGGAGAACATGGGCCGGGAGGTCTTGGAGAGGGCGGCCTCGACGGCGCCGCCGGTGCCGAGGGGCCCGATGGCGACGGAGGACTCTGCGCCGAGGGAGACGCGCGGGTGGGTGAAGGCGGCGACTTGGGCTGCGGTGGAGAGGACGAGGACGCAGTCGTAGATGTCGAGGCCGATCATGAAACCCGCGCCGAGGGTGGAGATGACGAAGGAGGAGGGCGGGGACCAGGAGCCGTCGGGGCGGCGGGCGACGACGAGGCCGGAGCCGGCGGAGAGGGAGCCCATGTAGGCGCCGGCGCGGAGGGTGTTGAAGATGGCGAGGCCGGCGCAGGAGGCGAGGATCTTGGGGGGGATGGAGACGAGGGACTTTGTGGAGAGGCCGAGGGGGTGGAGGGGCTGGCCGCCGCGGGCGGAGGGGGGCGGGGAGGGGGCGTCGGTGAAGGCGTGGAGNAAGATGGCGAGGCCGGCGCAGGAGGCGAGGATCTTGGGGGGGATGGAGACGAGGGACTTTGTGGAGAGGCCGAGGGGGTGGAGGGGCTGGCCGCCGCGGGCGGAGGGGGGCGGGGAGGGGTCGTCGGTGAAGGCGTGGAGGATGCGGGCGGCTTTGGCGCACTCATTGGGCATGGTGGAGGGCATGAAGCCCTCGGCGCCGAGGAGGTGGGCGGCGCGGTTGATGGGGTGGCCGAGGGTTGTGGTGACGCGGTGGACGTGGTGGGAGACGCCGCGGCCGGGGGGTTTTGGGTAGGAGGAGGAGCGGTGAAAGGGGTTCTTGAGACGGCGGCGGAGGGTGGATGTGCGGGAGGTGTAGGAGGGCGCGGGGCCTATTGACTGGAGGTCGTCTTCTTGGTGGGAAGGCATTTTGAAGGTATCATGGGAGGTGGTTGGTGGGTATGGAGAGAGGAGAGGAGCGCAGAGGGGGAGAGGCGAGGTGAGGCTTGAGGGCGATGATATACGTTTTGGTCTACGGACTACGGGCGGTGCTATGGGAGGGAGTTTGGACAGTCTTGGAGCGTCATCATGGATGTGGCCTGGGGAGGGGAGGGACGAGAGGCCTGGGCCGGAGTCAAGAGGGCGTCGAAGCGAAATCTGTGGGAAAGATGGTGTGCGGCGGCGAGGGGTCTAAGGTCTGGGTTCTGGGCGTTGCTGGGTCTGGCCTTACGAAGAAAACCGGGCAATACTCGAGTGAGTGATTCGTTTTTGAATTTCGTCCAATGGGGCGTGTGTCCGGGAAAAGACAATGCCCTCCCGTGCTCATTGCTCATAATCAACGAGGCGCATTTTGCGTACGGAGGCCTAGGCGCGGGGGCGGCACTCGTGGAGGCGCACACGGGACGGAGCAGAGAAGGAGACTGGATGAGGGGCTGCGGGACAGGGGTCAGTAGGCTTGGAGCAGGCGAGCGAGATATCATCCCATGTTGCTGGTGTGTGCTGCGTCCAAGGTTTGTTTCATGTGGTAAGTGCGTAGACGGCCCTTTGGGGTTCTAGCTCGAGGGGCTGGAGTAAGGTAAGGTGCGGGAAACAAAGGGAAAAGAGAAGGGTTCGTGGACGAGGAGGGGTGATGGCGGTGGTGGTGGCAGACGTTGTTGATGATGAAGAGAAGCACAGAGTTTTGAGTGATGGGGGTCGGGGTTCCTGTCAAACGCGTAAGTGTCGTCGTGGGCCTTGCAGACAAAGTGGTGAAGAGGGTGCGGTGGTGCTGAGATTAGGGGCCCTTGGTGTTGTAAGTGAGGATCGTGGGTGTTGTCAGTGAGGTTCCATGTCGAGGGCGGTCGGGAGGATTCAAAGTGCGGGATGGAACCGCGGAGAGGGCCGAGTGGACGGAGTGGGGCGCCCGGGCGACCGAGCCTTCTGATTGGCTAAGTCTAGCTCAAAGCTACATATTTCACAAAATTAATCCAGATTTTCAACCTAGTCTTCGTGGCTCAGTCGGTAGAGCGTTGGTCTCATATTACTCAATATGACTCTGTCAAAGACAGAGATATCCAAAGGTCGAGAGTTCGAGCCTCTCCGAGGACATTTGTTTTGTTTTTAACATGTCAGACTAATATTACCGTATCATCAGTTGATGATTCATGTCGGTCGCCACTGTTTTTTTCTTTTTCACTTAATTCGCAGTCCAGTTGTTAGCCGCCGCACTTTAAAATCTGAGTACACCTAGACAAGGTCCTCATTCGAGTCATTGCGACGCCCCTGAAGGCCGCGTCTGCGCCCTTACACGAAATCTGGTATCAAGGATAGAATTATTCAACGATCATATATGTCCGATGTAGTATGGTTATGTACACGAATGTGCGACAAAGTTCCAGTCATAGACTAGGCTCTGGTGGTATATAGCGTTATATTTGGTGAATGGACCGAAGTGAATGGCGGCACGTTGGCGTTTCTTATGTGACGATTGGTTCTCAACAGTTGTCGGAGGCGCGATATCTTCGGCGCTCGAGCCGAAGTCAATACCCACTGGGCAGCAGCCTGGATCTGCCCTGGGACCACTTGAGGCCCATGCCCACATCGACAAGGCCGTGTCGCGGACGCTGCTTGCTCTGTTTCCTCGGGTCTACCGAGTCAGCAGTTCTCGTGGCCCGCGCGACATGCTCAAAGCGCATCGCGTCAAGTCGTGGCGCTCATTGATATCTCGTCAACTGGGTTGGTCTTAGCCGCTGTCGATGTAAATGGTTCAAGGTGTTGTACATGAGCGTTTCCGGTCTTGTGAAGCTCGCAGCGAGCTCTAGACCGATCGGCTCAAGGCCATGGCTGTTCATGGCGGAGGCTCGCCCAGTCTGAATAGATCCATCTTGAACAATGGAGGCATGATACTGGGCGACAGCGGCTTGGGTATTGTGTCTGGCGGCGGGTTAGGCTCCACTTGCCTGATATCAACGCCGTCACGGACACACCGCAACGGCCATTGAATCCACTCCCTCCACGGCTCCTGGATAGCCTTGTCCAGGGCGGAAGCAACATTTACACCCCATCCATTGAGGTACCATAGCTTTCGCTCAAAGGCGTGAACCAATGCGGCGTAGTACATGAGAATGACGAGAGCCATGGGGTGGTTCTGGCTCATGAGTTCGAGGAAGGACTGGGGAAGCGAGACTGCCCATCGCCAGACGAGGCCGGATCGGTGGGACGGTGTCGAGACGGCGGCAAAGGTGAGCTTGAGGCCTTCGAGGGCGGATTGGCACATGGACGTATCTTCGGATGGAGCCATGCTTCGGGTAAGGTTGAGGAGGTCGTCGATCTTGGTGGCGTAGTTTCCACCCACGGCCGGCTCGACGCCGCCCTGGTAAAGCCACCGTGCTAGTGGTCCGTTGGAGATGTAGCGATGGGCAAATGGTAATGTGAGAATACTCTTGATGCCTACGCCTGTCAGCTTCCCTTTGAAGTCATACGGATGAAACCTTACCCTGCAGCAAGATGAAGGACTGAGCCACGTCCTTGGATGTGATGGGGCCATGAGGGTGTGCTATTGAGTATGTGTTTAGAAGAAAGATGCAGATGGCGTGGAGGACGTAGGCGTCCGCGTTGTTTTCGCCAATATCGTTCAAGCCAGGAGAGAATTTGCTGAGAGCGATGTTTTGGTGTCGTGTGGAGATGGTTGTGTACTCGTCCCTCTTCTCGGGGTTGAGGTGTGAAAGGTGGATGGCAGAGACGGCGAGGATGCCGTGAAGGAGAAAGTCCTGCCCGAGTCAGCAGACAACGACAAAGGTCATAGAGTCGACTCACATTGGCGAACGCAATCTGCGGCACAGTGGTTGTCCACAGGTGGATGAAGTCCGGATTCTCTGACAGGGTGTGCGCCGTATTAGACGTGAAGTGGTGGACCAGCTGCATGTCAGTGAGCCAGTCTGACTGAGGAACTCCCCGAGAGTCTCCAGATTCCCCTCGGGTCGATTCCGAAAAGGTCTCGCTCGAGTTTCCGTTCACTCCCTGATGGTTGAGCGCATCCATCTCGGCCGAGAACTCGGACAGAAGCCCCTGCATGGCAGCGAGCTTCTCCTTTAACGACGACAGCTGAGGCGAGTTCCTGTCCCGGCGGCTGGCCGGGCGACTGCTCGTTGAAGCCTCACCGACGCTGCCGGGGGTCGCAGTGCTCGCCGCCTCCGGGGCCGGCTTGGGCGACTCGGTGACGGCGGGAAGCTGCGGGGCAAAGGGGGTCAGGACCAGACTGCACTTGACATCGTGCCGGACGCAGTTCCGACACGGGCGGGCTTCGTCGCACTGAGGACCGTTAGCTCCCATTCACAAGCAATTGGGCCATCTAGTGACGGGGCTTGGCATCCTTCGACCTTAGGTAGGACCCCGACCGACCCCGGTCCCACTCATGAACTGACCTTGACTCGGCGCTTCTTACACTGCTGGCAGCCGTTCCGCGACTTCTTGTGGCCGATGCGGGTGCCGCGCACGCCAGAAGCCGTCTTCTGCTTGCCGCCGTTCGCGTTCCCATTTCCGTTTTCGAGGCGGGTGACCTCCGCCTTGAGAGAGGGCGAGTCTGTCCCTGGGGAGTCGCCGTTCATGGCACTGGCATTTGGGCGTGGTGAGAGGGCTGGACGTTGGAGAGGATGAGGAACGAAGGTGTTCCTGGTCGATCCGCGAATGACGGAATGTTTGTGTGTCTCAAGGAATGTTTTGGCGCTTGGACTCTGAGGTGATCCAAGGTATCTGATCCCCAAGCTTGTGGCGTCTTCTCATACTGCCGGGCTGCATGGCATGCGCGACAGCGCGAGGTGGTAATCAAATGGTGGTTGTGGAAGCAGTGGTAGTGCTGGTGGTGGAGAGCAAAAGCATCAGCACGGCGAGTGAAGTGGAGGTACGAGGTCCCCGGGTCCACGTCCTGCTGCGTTCCCAGTGTGGTGTTCCAAGCTTGGTGTTACGGGTCGGGACCCATGTATGTGCCTTGCAGCATGCACGACAACAGCAGCAAGGTCGACCGAGCGCGATCCGTATCGTATCAGCCTTCAGATTGCTGAGCTTCTTTCAACCCCTCTCAACGGGCAAGGCGCGACATCAGAGAATGACGGAATTGCTTGACAGCCGTTGAAGAAAGGGGAGAAGGAGTAGTGGTAGGTTCACGACAGTGTCACGGACTTTCGCGAGCTTGCCGTTCCGGGCCGGCCGATACGAGCACGTGACTGCTTTTGAGGAGAGAAGGAGGTGGGAGCCGTGAGTGATCTGGGAAGGACCGAAGGTACGCGGATAGGCACCTAGGTACGTCTTGCTGGAATGGGAACCTTAGTGGGTACCTTCCCTGAGATCCGCACGGGTGCAACTGGCCCAAGCTCCCGATCCAATCACAGCAGGAGGCAGAGGCAGGGTTGTGGCTGCTGCTCGCTGCTGCTGCCGTGATTGTGGTGTGGCTTTCGCACCTGCCGAGGTGAAAGTGGGCTGTGGAGGTGGAAGTGGTGCCTGCCCATGCGAATTAAGCCGGGGGGGAACTGCAGGCACGAAGGAGCTAAATTGCGACCTGCAGACGCGCCAACGCCAGCCGGACGCGACTTCCCGTCCACGTCGCCGTCCGTTCCTGCACCAAGCCCAGGCGGAAAGAAGGAAGGAAGTCACCACAACGTCAGCAGTACCGCGACTGCCCGCTTTCCTGCCCAGAGACACTGAGGGGGCTATTCTCTTTCCCTTTAGCTTCGTTTTCAGCCGCTGACTTGCACCTGCATCACCTCATCCCCCGCCTGCAGTGTCTCCCTTCCCCGTCGTCCGTCGTCTTCTCCCGTCGTCCCCCGACCCCTCTCTCCTGTCCTTGTCCTCTCTAGTGTCCTCCGTCATCCCTTGACAACCACACGTCGTTCAATTGATAAATGACCAGACACCCGATTCCCGATCTGCAAACCCCAGTCACATCTCCAACACCCCCTGACATCTCCACGACTCTGCATCAGAAAGCCCCCATCTGCAATCCGAAAATGGCCACCCACTCCGACTACAACGACATCAAGGCAACTGCCAAGGACAGTGCCGTCGGCGTCTACAACTACGGCCAGCGCCAGATAAACCGTGTCGTCAGCTTCGACACCAGACAGAAAGCCTATTCCAACGTCTCCAACTTCGCCCAGGAGCGACCCCTCCTCTTCGTACGTCCAAGGTACCTCGCTTCCAATTGGATGCCTTCGCTAATTGACTTTGTCCAGGCCTTCATCGTTGCCCAGGCCATCTTCTCCTCCCTGCCCATCATCGTCTTCTCGACCTTTGCCGTCTCCACCATCGTCTTCGCCCTTGGTGCTGCTGTCATCTTCGCTCTGTTCTGGGTCGGCGTCGCCCTTCTCGTTCTCGTGCCCACGCTCTTCTTCACATGTTCCGTTGGCATCCTCGTTTGGACCTGGGCCGCTGGAAGTTATCTTCTTGCTAGATGGCTCTACGAGATGTCTCCCGTCAGTGCCAAGGGCGGCCTTGAGGTTGAAACGCCCAATGGCCAGAAGTTCGTCGTCGGCAAGGACGAGGACGGCTTCGAGGCTCATAAGGGCCAGAGACGGTCTTAGGATGTCAGGAACAGGTGACAGGTGTGAGATCAAGGGACGGTATGGCGTTAGTTGCTATTTTTTTGGTATGGATACCCGGGTTTGACTATGCCTATAGTTCGTTTTGAACGGACTGGCCGGATGGATTACATGTAGTTGCTGCTGTTACGCTTATAGGCCGTCGGACACGACCACTAAGTCTCCGTTAAGGAGAATAGATCATTATCCCAATGTCTCCCCTATTATGGCCCTCGTTGCCGTCATAGTCGTATCGGCCATTATGGTGTTGGCCAACATAGCGTTGGCCGATATTATCTGCTTGGCCAATATTGTCTCCTTAGCCGTTATGGTTTTCGGCCATTGTCGTTTCTTTGGCCATTATTGTCTTGGCCGATATTATCTGCTTGGCCATCGTCGCCTCCTTGGCCAACATCGTCTTGGCCAACATCGTCTTGGCCAATATCGTCGTCTCTTTGGCCGTTGTCATCATATTGGCCATCGTCGTTTTGGCCAATGTGGTCGTCCTCTGTGGTCGTCCTCCGTCGTCGCTATGACATCAACTCACTGCAGTCGCACTCAACCGAAGGGTAAGTTCAAATTTACCAAGTACACAAAAACATAAGGTAGCCATACTGATTCACAAAAGTTAGCGGGTGTTTTATTCCAAACTGAATCAGAGCGCCTCTACCTCAAAGCACCATTCACGACGCTCGACAAAGCCGCCCAGCACCGTCTGCCTCCCACAAATCGCTCCCCACACACGTGGGGCAGTAAAACACCGAGTCGGGATCGTACACATTCTTGATACCCAGGAGCTTATCATAGTTCTCCCCGTAAAAGCTCACCTTCCAGTCCGGATCAAGCGCGTCGCCCTCGTTCATGTATGATCCCATCCCCGGCGCCAACGCCTTCATGGCCCCGATCTTGTTGTACGTGACATCGTGGTGCACCGTGTCCCACGTCTCCGCGCTGACGTCGTTGCTGAGGATGCGCGCGACGGACTGGTGCAGCACCGCCGTCCGCCATGTCGGGATCACGGCTGACGACTTGTCGCTGCCGTCTTTCCAGACCTGCCCGCCGGAGACGAGGGAGATCACGTTGGTTACGAATTCGCCCGGCGCCCCTGCGAGGACGTTGAGGAGGTTGCGGACGGCGGTGCGATTGCTCACGGCGGCGGCGTCGAGGAGCCGAGAGCCGGAGGCGGCCATGAGGCCGACGGGGTTGTCGTCCACGCTTGTGTTGCCGAAGAAGGACCAGTAGTCGGGGTAGCTGACGTAGCTTGAGTTGACGAAGAGCGCGTCGCTGAAGTTGTTGATGCGGTCGAGGAGAAATTTGCCAGCTGCTTCGACTTCGTCTTGGGATTTGTTGAAGGCGTAGATGGCGTGGGAGTAGGCGGTCGTGAAGTTGGCGAACGAGGGCGCGGGGCCGTCGACTTGCCAGTGGGGGTACCCCGCGAAGCCCGCCTCGACGAGTTCCGGGATGGAGGTGTACAGCGTCGTCAGGGCGTCTAGGAAAGTGTCTCTTGACGCGCCGTCTTTCGCTGCGATCTGCAAGTTCTGAACAGTGGCTTTGAGCTGTGGGTACGCCTTGATCGTCGTCGAGACCACAACCCCATACGTCCCCGGCCCTCCTCCACGGATGGCGTAGAACAGGTCCTGGTTCTGGCACGCATTCGCCGTGAGAAGCGTCCCATTCGCAAGAACCACCTCCGCCTCAAGAACCTGGTCCGCGCCGAGGCCGAAGGTATGGCTCGCGGGTCCGTGGCCGCCACCCTGCATCCATCCACCAGTGCTGCATACCGTCGAGCTCCCGCCACCGACGACGACGACGTTGTTCTCCCGCGCGGCGGCGTAGCTCTCGCCCCACATATACGCTCCTCCAAGCTTCATCGCGCTTCCTGTCCAGGGCGTCGCATCACATCCGGTCGAAGAGGCGTACGACGGTTGGAAGTCGATGCCGTTGCGGAAGTAGCGCAGCCAGATCTCCAATCCCCCAAACCCGTCGCTGCGGCCCAGGACGTCGTGGCCGGTGCTCTTCACCACCACGCGCAGGTTATTCTCCCGCGCGAAGCGGAGGGCGGCGACGATGTCATCCGTGCTGGTGACGTTCACAGCGAAGGGTGGGTTGGTCCCCAGAGTGCAGGATCCCGTGGCTGTGGAGTTTGCTGCAGCCGAGGAGGGGGGCGGGCAGGTTATGTTCAGGGAGTAGTCGAGGCCGACGGGGTTGGCGGACTGCCAGCTTCCAGTGAACCAGTTCTGCTGCACGCTGGCGCAGGCGGAGGGGTTGTAGTCCGGGCCGGGGTAGCAGGAGATGGCGACGGGTTTGGTTGCGATGAGTTTGCCGGAGATGGTGGCGTTGAAGGCGTCCCATGTTGAAGGAGAGGGCCAGCAGGCGTCTCCTGGTGCCTCGGATAGAGAGTCGTGTTAGTGGTCATGTTTGTGGTTCAAGAGTTGAGCGTGGGATGGGTTACTTACGCATTTACATGATGTGTTGGTTGCTGCTACTGCAGACGCGGCATGAAGTGCCGCTAACACGGCAGAGAGTTTGTTGCGTAACATTGTCAATCTATTTCGAGACGTTGATCAAGACTGAAGCAATGCCAAGGCAAGTAAAACATCTCTATTTCCTGGCATATCGCCAGGTATAAGTACTCTGCCATCGCCCATCATCAAATCTCGGTTTCTCTTCAATCGTCGTCGGGTTGACATGTGTGGCTCAGTTCATCATCATCGGTAGATTCTTGCGCCCCATTTTCCGCAAACCGAATGCGAGGCGCCGCTACTACGGCAGTGGAGACTCAATCTGCCTTCGCTTTAGGCTCAATTTGCGTAGGGCACAGCAGGTGAACAAGTACGATCTAGGTTACATTCGACCTTGCGCTCCCACTGCAGATCAACTGAAAGGATTGGAGCGGAAGGGACGGCATGTAAGTCTCGAGGGGAAACAAGACAATGAGAACATGAACAGTGACAGCAGCAACCAGAATGAGGTTCAATTTGAGCGACAGAGACGATGCGAATGGACAAAGAGGGTAAAGACCGTAGGGGCAATACAGTCCTCCGCCCGACCAACAGCACTTCCCCAGGAAACGTCACAACGCGACATCAACAATCAAGCTCTTCGCGATTGGTATGGAGATCATCTCCCGCTGCTCATGACGGCGAGGAGTCATACATTCCCCCAATGCCTGCCGAAGGACCCGCCGTGACCGGGTCCAAGCCACCACACCCGGCGCCGAAACCGAAACCGAGGACGGGATCGGGCCGGCGATATTGATGACTCCGGACCACCGTGTTTTCGGCGAATTCTTGCCGTTTGCGTTCATTCAACTCGACATCTTGATGCCGTACTTTACGGGCGATATCACCAGAGTTTTGGTGTCTGCTGCCGCTCATCTTCCAATCTGGATCAAGGAAACATACCTAGTCTGAAGATTAGTCCTTCACCAAGTTTTCAAGCCAATATGAGATAGCGAAAGATTCATGTCCGAGTAGATACATCAAAACCATCTAAGTATGCTCTTCATATCTAATAGTCATCTACCATGGCCGCTTGGACCAAAATAAGCTCCAATCATCTGTTGACCAGCGCCGCAAACTTTGTACGGATTCGGGGAAGGCAGTCTTGTCTTCAACGTAATCTCGAAGCATATCGTAAATGGCAATGAAAACCGTTTGAGCCTCCTTTTCAGCTTTGTACTGATTGTTGCGACTTTTCTTCTCCTTTGATGCGGGCTCTGTTTTCCCAAAAGCCAGAGCAATCGCCTCACGAATCAAGAGCTTTTCGTAGGGTTCGCTATACCAATCTAAATCTCGTAACATAAGCTGCATGATTCCGGGAAACAGCCGAGGTTCCGATTCAAGGAGCGCAACGAGTGGTGCAGAGTTCGTCCTTGCTTTTTCTGGTCGGTACGTTTCTCGATACGTTTCTGTAATGTACTCGAAGCAGACTTGGAGCGGGGTGCGACCGAATTTGTTCACGGCGTTGATATCAGCGCCGTGGCGCAGTAGCACGTGGACGACCTCCCGAGGTGGTTCGCGGTAATACAGCTTACGCATCGCGACATAATGTAGCGGCGTGTTTCCGAGTATGTCCCGAACATGAACATCGGCGCCCTGTTCCAGCAAGAACGCGACCATCTCTGCGTCCCAGTTGCCGCATGCCTGGTGCAGCGCATGGAGAAGAATGGTGGAATGCGTCGTCATTGAGGCTCCTGCCTGCAAGAGTGTCTTGACAGCGGCGATCTTGGATTCCTCTCTTCGGTTCCTCTGCTCTTGGGTATATCGAGGTTGTCCACGCGACACCACCGGATCGTAATCTAAATCCTCCATCAGGGCGTAGTACAGCACATTGGGCCCCTCATCGTCTGCTATCCCCTCCAGCACGTAATGCAGCCAAGTTCGTCCATCAAACTGTCTAAAGCCAGAGAAGTGAGGCATGATGTATGCTACCACGCGAAAGTAAGAATACGTGGAAAATCTCATATAGCTTCTGTGCAAACAACTGAGATTCCCAGGGGTTTGGATGTTCGCGCCGTGTTCTAACAGAACCGAGATCGCGTCAACATGCCTGTGATATGCGGCCCAGTGCAGTGCAGTCATTTCGATTTCGACAGGTTCTCTTGTGACGTCCGCATTAGACATATTGTATTCAAGTTCCTAAAAGTCGTCGTAAAGCTCCGTGAAGTCCCACATCTCTATCTCAGCGCCGGCTTCAAGAGCCTTTTGAATGGTCGAAGCGCAGCCAGTCTTGGCGCCCAAAAGAAGACTCGAGCCACGGTTCCATTTGATGTCGGCTAGGTAGATGGCAGGCGTCACGATAGTGTTGAGGGCCCTGCAAGTTTCGGCGAGTCGGATGGCCCTTCTCCAGAATGAGAAGCGACCGAAATTCGGGTACCAACCATTATAACACTTTTCGGGTGCGTTGTAGCCTTTCTGCAGTGACTCCAGATCGCTGTAAAATATAAAGTCGACGACATGAAGAATTATCTCCACTGGAAGCTCGAGCAAGTGGGCGCGGCTTGCAGTTTTGGTCTGTATTGCTGGGAATAGCTCTTGCCGAGAAGGCGACGATGCGAGATCCGACGCGGAGAAGGTGTAGAGGTCCGCCATAGTTAATAATACTCTTCGATGATGAGATAAATGTTGCTACTTTGAGAAGAGGTGCGTTGCGTTTTCTGGAAGGAGGTTGTGAAGAGTTCGCTCGCACATCTTGGTGGGCCGAATCAGATTTATGAGGTGTCTGGTGGCTACCGGTGAAATTGCAAAACCGTGTGAGCTTGTGGCGTTTTTCTTTCCAACCTTTGCGGTCTTGATCTGAGATGCGTTAGCCCAGACGAGTATTTATCTTTTTTTACACAAAATGATTCGCACGGAGGTACCTGCTGCCAGCTGCCGATGTCTGAGCCATATTGTACCGTTGCTCCAATGTGTTTTCCCGTTCTATTCAACCATCGCACCAGCCACCATGACCCGTTTGGCACCTCGCAGTACGAAATTTCATCCACAATATGGCTGCGTCTGGCGGATTGATGAAACTCCGGCTCTATTGCGGCTCTATTGTCAGCAGCAACTCATTGTGATCCAGCACTGCCAATGTTCATTCAACCTTGTGATTGTCTCTACCTGCTGTAGACTCAGAAACAATGATCCGACTAAGTTCACTATTTAGAAATTCCATGAAATGTTGTAGCGGTGCCCATTTCAGGCCTTACCAAAGCTCCGGAAACGCATCAGCGTTGCGCAAAATTCTAAGACCAGGTTTCTCCCATTTCCGCAAAAGCCCCCTCCCGTATTCACTCAGATATGTCTCTGCATCGACCGCTAGTTCTTCCAAGTTGGGCAGTTTTCCCCAGACACCATTGTCTGCCAAAATCGTCAAGTCTCCACAAAGCTGCCACCCCGCGCAATTATCCTCGCCTCCAACGCTGACATACTCAAAGTTATTCAACGTCCCCTTCAAATGCAGTTTCCTTAATGATGTTGGAAGGGTCGACATAAAGGTGCTGGCTATGTCTTGACCAGTTGCAGGAGGATAGTGAGGTATGCAAGTCATGTAACTGGCGGTGCTAAAGGTGTCGATCCATAAATTCCTCAAATTCTTGAATTTCCCAACCGAGAAGGGCGGCACATATTGATAGAGCCACCATGGAATCTTCAAGGTGTGTATGAAAGTGTCGTCAAAGTCTTGGTGCTCTTCCCCAGTGCGGCTACAATATCTGACGCCTCTACTTCCACCGAGTAGTTGCATTTGCGAACATAAACAAAGTGCTCCATGTGCTCACATTGACTAAACAGTATCTGAAATTCCTTGCGTCCAAGAAGCGTTTCTTTCAACGTGACGGATTTCAAATGATCGACAGCGGGTATTCGTTGAACCTGTGAGATGTTGAAATCTTGTATGCAGAGTTCCGAGACCTGCTTTCCAAGACGTAGAATACCAGATAATGTTGATGCTGTGATCGTCTCTTGCGAACCGTTGAAAACTTCCTGCGATCTTTCAGCTCTTTCCCACCTCAAAGTGACGGATTGGAGCATTGGAAGGGGCGGCTCATTGGCGGAGCTGCAATCTTCAACGATTTGCTCTAGGAAACGTCGCGAGCTCGCCAGTGCGAGATGTCGTAGATTGTGAAATTGACAGAGAAAAACTGCTGCGAGGCAGCCGTAATATGTGACTCTTGAAGCAGGCATTTCCAGCGGAAGTTTGCTGAACTGCTTTGGGAACTCCGCCTTGACTTTCACGGACTCGAGTAACGGGATTTCAAATGGTTTGAGATCAAGCTCAGAAGGAAAGCAGAAAATCATTCTTTTGACGCCATCGGCAGTGGCCTCCTTGTTTCCGATTTGCCGCAACTGGTTGATGATGCGTTGTTGATGATCGAAACGCGAAATGGCAATAGTGTCTCCTAAGAAGCCGCGTACGATTCGACGATGGCGCCTGCAGGTAAGACTGAAAATCCACAGGCGGTGTTCTTGCAGCTGCTGTATAACCTCCGACGTCTGATATCGGTCATCGAGTAGATACAGATACCTCCATGGGCGGAGGTCGCTTAGAAGATGATGGCAGATTTGGAGCGTGAGCTCCTCTGGGAGGCTCGTAATGCAAGCCTTAGTAGCACCTGATGATGTGGAGGGGTTTGATAGGTCATGGTCGCTTGGTTGAGCCGATGCAAGGTTTGGGATTGAAGTCTTCGTGAGCTGGCAGCTTGAGATACGGCCATGATTCAGCATGACTGATTGCTACGTCGATGTCGATGAGCGAGGAGGGAACGTAAACATAATGCGAAATTGATAGTCCAAGTAAATGCCAAAGACTTGTGAGAAGGAAGACGTTTTTCTCAATCTTTTCTCCCGGGCATTGTCTACATATCAACAAGGCCGCCTGAAACTGTGGCGCGCGAAGTAAACTTTAAAGCTAGATAGTTAGAGGGGTAAAGTTCAGATATTTGATTAAATCCAGTAAATATTTCATCGTAAAAAAACAACGCAACCACCAAGGTTGTAGGAGGAACGCACGAGGGGACCAAAAATGGAAATTCATGCCAACACTGTGGATCGAACACAGGATCCCCGCATTACAAGTGCGATGCCTTACCACTTGGCCATGCTGGCGAATCGGGTGAAAACGTGGGCACAATCGGAAAATACAAAGCTCACAACAGTGGGTCCAGCATGTACAAACACGTCCACCGCCTAGGTCTTTGGACTGGCTTGACTTCTGATTTGCGGTGCAAAGTATTTCAGCATCTGGAAAATCGCCTGCAATGTCAGGCTTTGATACCGGCCTTCCCTCTTCAAACCCTTTGACCTTTTTGTTTCATGGTAATGTCTGGTCAAAAATCGCCCAAACCTGGTGAGCCACCTTTAGCGACACCTCAACCCTTCTTGCCTTCTAACTTTTCTTTCGCAGTTTGCCACCTGGAGGCGCACCTTGTTGACTGCCGTATGACTGGGACGGGTAATTATGGGAGGAGGAAGCAAAACTTGAATTGAAAGGCGCCAATTTCATCGCCGAATCTCATCCTCCTCGTCAACATACGACACGCTCGCATCTCAGCAACTGTTGCTTCTTGAAGATGTCATGGCGAACCTTCCAAATCTCCCACCAGAAATTGTGATCAAGATTGCGAAGTGCATCAGATCTTTCGACTCACCCTTGATCCGGGCCGAGACGGACCCTCGCGACTGGAGCTTGAATCAGCACTGAAGCTTGAGACGACATCACTTTTGAGTCTTGCAAGAGCCTGCAAAATTCGCTTACAAGTTGCTCAACCTCATACGCCTGCTCGAGGAACGACGCGATGTTCGTGGTTGGGTTCGGCAAATCCACGTGCATTTTTCGTCCTATGGTGACATCTTACCTGATGTTTGGGACAGTGAAGGCAAAATCACACCTCCGTGGCAATCTATCGCCAATATTGTTGGCTCAGGATTCGAGTCATGCTTGAGGCAAGCGACTGAAGCAGCGCCTGGATCAGGTGCCGTGGAAAAATGGCGAGGCTACCTTCTGTTCCTCCTTCTCCTTAACATTCCCGATGTCAGAGGCCTGAGCGTGACAGCAACACCCGGCACTTTCAGATTTGCAGCCCAACTGGCGGACACATACGCGACACGAAACCCAGAGAAATCCTTGAGCCTATTAAGACTGACATCCTTGGCTGCAGGCGTTTGTGACCCATCCGTCTTTGATTGGAAGGGGTATAATTATGGATGCAATCTGTGGAAGTCTTCCATGACGCCGAATCTGTTTCCCAAACTTTCCGAAGTCTGGGTTGGCAATCTCCTCCTCGACGCCATTGTCCCCCATTGCATGCCGAAGCAGGCAAACGACAACACCACTTCTGTAACTCTCCGAGACGTCTCAACCACAGCGGCAGAGTTGCGCGAGGCCGTTCAGCAACTCCGCAATCTGAGAGCCTTTAAATACCTGGTTATCGACATCAAAGATTCGCCTTTATCATGTGGAAAAGTCGTGAAGGCCTTGGAACAACACGTTTCGACATTAAAGACATTCTATATTATTCTTCCTTTTTCTTCGTTTTAGAAGAGGAGTCTTTAAGCATTTTCAAGGGCATGTCCAATTTGGAGCATCTATTCATCGACCTCAGTTACTTCGCCGCGATGCCTGAAGACGGTCATCAGAAAGACGATGAGATGAACGGAGGGACTAGTCTCCAAGATCTTGAAGAAGACGTTTTGAAAGTTCTCCCATCATCTCTCAGACGCCTGCACTTGGCCGGCGAACCACGTCGTATCCTCAACGGCATGCAATGGCTCGCTGAAAATTGCAAGCCAACTTTGCTGCCGCATCTTCGGGAGGTTGCTTTCGAGGATATGATGCTCAGCGACCCATCTGCAGAGCAATCCCTTGCACTAACTTGCGAAGCGTTTGCCAAGGTCGGCGTGCGGGCCTCGAAGGAAGTGGACACGATGCTGGGATTCTGATGAGATGTATGGCAAATCGTTTGTAATATCATCACTATATTCGAAGATGGCATTTTATATAATATAATGAGACTGAGATTTGGGGATATGAACCACATTTCCGAGCGTTTTGCTCCCACACCTTACTAGGCATTTCCCAATTGCACGCCCAACTATTCGCTTTGGTCTGGCAGATATGCGACAATAGGTTGCGATCCCGAACTGTTTTATCACTACGTTTTTGCGTTCCGAACGAAGACAATCACTTATAATGTAGACGATAGCTCTGAACAGATAATTATGTCAGTAACCAGTTGTTCGGCGTGGAAACCCCTTTCTTGACACTCTCTATACCAGCCAGTCGGAATGCTCGACGAGTTTCTACACAATCGTCGCACCAGCATCCTACAGCAATTTCGCGGAGCTCAGGCAATGTGCCTTCCTTGTACCTGTTAGCAAGTAAACGAAGGCTCACATGCAAAGCTTCCACATCGCCCGTTAAATGAATCTTCTTCAGAGACTGAGGCAGCATCATGATGGCCTCTTTCTGCAAGCCCGCGTACGCAGAGCTCCGCGCATTTAGCCATATATTTTCCAGCTTCTGAAATTGTTTGTACGTGTTGAAAGACGGACTGGCCCAACAAGTGTAAGCGCAGTCTAAACATGCCGTGGTCAAGTTTATGCGGGTCTCTTTGATAGCATCAAGGACATCGATGGGGTCCAAATGATATGGCCGATTCTCGATCATCCTCACCTTGCGCCCAAGAAAAGTCAATTTCGTGAGGTTAGGCATGAGGCTCAAGATGTAGACCAGGTTGTGCCGCGAAAGTAACATGTCTTTGAGACGCAGGCTGGTGACATGACTCCAGCTGTGCTCAAAATTGGGACACAACTCCAAACTGAGGCCAATCTCTTGCAATGCAATTTCCTTGCTTTTTAAGGACATTTCGTGCAGAGTCCTCAGGTCAAGGTCATCGAGGAAGCTGTCGTCATTGTCTGCTTCTTTGGAATGTTCGATGGTGAAACTCGAAAGATTTGGAAAGATGTCTCGGGAAGCCCATGGCGGCCGATTTCGTAGGGCTGGCGAGGACTCCGTACCATGGACACCGGTCACACAACCAGACCAGCCATTGGCGCGAGGTTCAATCCCCCAAATGGCTGAAGGGTGCAGACGCGTACTAAATGGTAGCCCTCTGTACTTTGAGTTGAGAAGCAATGAAAACTGTCGGAAGATCTCACCGCCAACAGACAAGGTTACATGGGTGACCTGCCGTAGGCGGCAAAGCAGGTCGACGGTCATGAAAGCAAGATACTCTCCGCTTTGAACAGTATTCTCCCGTTTGGTAACACCATTGGTCTTTTCAAGGGTCGAACGCAGAAGACCATGGGTTTTCTCAAGCTTGAAACGCAGAAGATCATCGTATCTTGCAAGTTCAAGGGGGTCTGACTGATCCACTTGCGAATCCGGCGACGCTCTATGCGACGTCGGCATAAGCGTAATGCTCACGAAAATCTGCTTTACGCAGCCGCAGATTTGAGGCTTCTCGTTTAGAAGGCAGAGAAAGGAGATGAGCTTCTGTGCATCGTTTTTGTCATGTATGCTGATATATCGAAACACCTCCGAAAATAGGATTCGGCGCAATAAGGTGCAGGTGCTGGATAGATTGACTGTGGCTGCTCTTTTGGCTCTGTTCAACTTGATATCATGCGCGACGATGGCCCATTCGATCTCGCTGTTAGTTTGCTTGCCACGTTTCATGGTATCGAAATGTGACGCGATTTGTAGCAGGAGCTCTGTAGGAAGATCGCACAGCTTCGCCATCGCAGCTCGATATGAAACGACTGGATTAAGGTCTGCAAGTGAGAAAGGCGACGCGCGAAATGGTGTGTATAGGTATTGTATATGCGTAAGTTCTCGTCCACAGCTTCCAAGAAGACAAAAGTAGTAGAATGGATGTGTGTCAGAAAATGAAAGAATCTTCGAAGTTCGCGGATTACCAAAAGCCTTAAGGCTGAGCTACCGATGGACAGCCATGCAGCCCGTACAGGTTGTGGGCAGAGTGCGCACCTTTTCGATAACACAAAGCGCCTTCTGGGGACTGAAAGGTGTTGTGTAGAAATCAAAAGTTTTTAGGGTGCCTCAACCTTCTATCTAATCACTTATTAAATAGCCGCCTTTTTTTCCTATGCTAGAGCGACTACTTTTCCTATGGCTACCTATACTCTAACCATTTTACTATCATCATATTCGTTATCATCTTTATCGTCAACTTCGTTGTCGTCTTTATCGTCGTCTTTGTTGTCGTCTTCGTTATCATCTCTATCATCCTTATTGCTTCTCTCATTATTATTATTATTATAGCTATCCTTATTCTGATCCTTATTCTCGTCTATAGCCTCATTCTTATCTTTATTATTAGTATTGCTGCTATTACTTTTAACAGCAGTAGTTAAATGTATTAGAGAGATAGCCGCGCAGATATAGAAAAATTAGGCGGTCTTACTAAATATACAAGAAGGTCTTCACCCGCGAGTGGGTGCCATCTGAGGCCTCAACATCAATAAGCTTATTCTCTTAGAGCGTTACGCAAAGCCTTTCCATAATGAATCTAAATTGTGCTTGATTTTACGTCAACCAGGCACCCATACAAGTTCTCTGTCGTTATTAGGCGCGAAGAGAGTATCATGCGCGATAGGCATGCACATGGGCATTTTCAATTCTTGTCTCTTTGCTATCTTTTTTTTAACCGCAAAGTACATCAAAACCAGTATCCGTCATATCCCACCCACATTGAACAGCTTCTCGCCCGTGGAGCTTGCAGAAAGACTGATGCTAGCTTTGGAAGAGGGATACCGTAATGATCTTATAGCTGTAGACTCGGCTCCTGGACTGCAGCCTGGCTGCGTTACTTACCGGGCTCCAGGGCTACCAAAGATGGGGATGCGGATCCACCTCAACAACAGCCACGCCAACTTCTTCAAACCATTCTGAGTAATGATTCTTATTTGCATGTCCCGTATCAAATCCCACTTCTTTGAGGTTTGGATACCTGTCCTCGCAGTTCTCTGCCAGCCAGAAGAGCTCCATCTCGCGGAAGTTGTCAACGTGTAGCCGATTTAAGGAGGCCGGCAACATTCCGATGACTGCGTTGCCCACATCCTGTTCGCCGTCCTCGTCATAAAGAAGGGTGATTGCAGGTTCAATAAACTTCCCTTCCAGCCAGAGATTTTCAAGGTTCGAAAAATCGTTGAACGTTCGATCAGGGTAAAACTCCGTAGGCCCAAGGTCATACTTCTCTAAAGACGTAATGACGATTGTGCGTAGAGTTGCTTCTCGTTGAGAGAGAGCTGTAAGGAGCGGGGCCATCATGTCGCCGGGGATGGCGACGTCGGTTTCGACAGTTGCTTTTCGGCATACGAACTTTTCGAGGTTATCGGCACCTTCGATCATATCGACGAGGTCGCCATAATCAATCGTAATGTCGTCGAAGATGAGTGAGGTTATGTTCGACCCATACTCGTTCATGATGAAAGAAAAGCCTCGGAAGTCGGTCCAACTCTGAAAGAAAACGTCCGAGACGTTGCGAGCCACCCGAGCCAAGGTTTCCGCCGGGCTGCGAGAAAATTGGTCCCATTCAATGTCATCGAAGCTGGCTGGACTGCTGCTACGTTTTGCGTCCTCCAGAGTGATAGACTCCAGCGACGGGAAGCGACAAGAGAAAGGAAGTAAGATCGCGGAGGCATGTGCTAGGGTGTGACCCGACACGGAGAGAGTGAGGTCGGTGATGCGGGTTAACTGACTCAACACCAGCCCCGCAGCCCAGAGGATGTATTTCGAGCTTCGTACAAAAGGGTTCTGATTATACATGCGATCGAGTTCAGCCAGATATGTTTGCTGATCATCTTCGCCGGCCTCATTAAAGTTGAAGAGTCGGGGAAGATCGGGAGACGAGAGGTACGCCATGTTGTTCAATGATATGTGTTTCGGGTTATCTTCCACCTCTATGTGAAGAATAAACTCCTCGACGGAGTTACTGATCGCGGGATTGTTGTACAAGGTACGGAGAAGATTGACCAGCTTATTAGCCCCATCTTCGCCGTGAATACTGATCACTCGGTAAGACTCCTTAAACAGTAGTCGGCGTAGAGTTTTGTTGACGGAAGAAAGGTTGAAAAGGGAAGCCCGAGCTTCTCGAACGGCGCGCGAGGTATCAGAAACGCACACGCGCTCACTTTCTAGCATTGTTTCTCTGGTCGATCGTGTAGAGTTCCCCGGCCGGTTGACTTGAAGAAAAGAAGCTATATGAAGCAAGAGCTCCACAGAAAGGTCGGAAAATTGCGCCATGGCGATGTTTTAGGAGCCAGTCGAGCTTACGGGGTGTCTGCGGTGTTGTAGCCCTACAGTGAGGTATGAAGCCGCAATGGCAGCAACAGTGATATTTGCAATGAATAAAACACTTCACATCCACTGGGTCTCCATTTTTGTTACATCGCTGCCCAAGTATGTGTGTGGCCGAAAACAGGGATTCCGCAGGTCATGTGACTCTATGGAAATAAGCATCATCAGGAGAATTCTGTAATCCGTGTGGATACTTTGAGCTAACGGGGTGGAGTATTACACTGCCTGTTTCTGGTACCATTGTAATTGCTATTATTGTTGTTGTGACCAAAAGCGATGCGTTAGCTAAGAGTCTCATTTCCTTCAGGAGATCGCTGGTCACTTTCAGGTCAGACGCTTATTCAAGTCTCAAGTCATATGAAACCATAATGAGCTAGAATACCTCAACTTGGACCAACGAAAACATGTTTATTGACACAAACGCCTTGAAGGGCTTGTTTCGTTTCAGCTCTGCTATTCACATTGGCAGCCTGCCTCTCCTTAAAGTGCGTATTGATAGCGTTCAGTATTGAATCTCTGCTCCAATATGATCCAGCCCCGAGTAATTCTTGACGTATGCCACACGTCTTTCCCCTTGTTGATTTATGCATGTGCTGGAATTCCTATGCCTTTAGCTCTTCAACCAGCGGACCCCTCCGCGTATCGCTCTGCTACCAAAGTTGGGGATACGGATCCACAGGAACGATAGCAACGCCAGCGTCTCTCAACTGCTGTACGAGAGGACGCATACTTGCAGAATCAACACACGTCGCATCCAATCCCAGTTCTTTCAGGTTCGGTAAACGGGACTTGCAGTTCGACGCTAGCCAGCTGAGGTCTTCATCAGTGGGTTTCCCCTCGAGGTGCAGCCGCTTCAGTGAGGCCGGCAAATGTCTAAGAATCGTGCCTTGCAGGGGTTCCGTACTTCCGTAACCTTCATCGCGCGGAGCTTTGCTAAAATCCGCATCTAACCAGAAGTTTTGAAGATTCCGGAACTTCTTGAATGAAAAACGACCAAGTAATACCGCTGGAAGCTTGTGTACGGAGGGAAGGCAAATGGTGTGTAGAGTTGCGGCTAGTTCGGAGAGGATAGTCATCAACGGATCTGGATCCGTAGGGTCGAGGATCTGCACGCCGAGCAGAGTCTGGTCAAAACCAATAGCCACTCGTCTGCAAACGAACTTTTCGAGATTTGAGAAATCTCGTAGCTTCACTAGCAATTCGTCATACTCCAACTCAACGCCGTTAAGCACGAGTGAGGCCAAGGTTTTCCCGAAGCCATTTGCTTCTTGCTCGAAGAATGTCCTAAAGTCGCTGAAGTTGTGGAGAAAAACGTCAGACACGCTTGGTGTGTTTCCAAGCACGCTGTCCCATATGCAGGGAGGAGGCCACAACCATGGAGCTTCGTCGACATCATCACGAGTGGCGTCGTGCATAGTTAGAGACTGCAGCGACGGGAATCCAATAGTTCCCGCGCCGAACATAATGGTTTGGCCGTATGTGAGAGTGTGGTCTGGGACGGAGATGGTGAGGTGTGTGAGGTGATCCAAGCCGCGGAATACCAGCGCCGTAGCCCAGAGGATGTACTTCGAATTCTGCACTGGGACCTGCAATTTCCCATGAGCCTTGTCGAGCATCGAGTAATACTCGTTTCGACTCATGTTACCGCCGAATATTCGGGGGATGTCAGGCCCCATGAGAAAGGCCATATTCCTGATTGAGATGCGACTCGTGTCGTCATGCATGTTAAACTGAAGAACAAGTTCCTTGACTAAGCTGCTGATCCTAGGGTTGTTATGTAGAATCCGGAACAGGCTGATGAGCTGGTTGGCTGCGTCTGGACCGTGGATGCTGACGACTCGCCAGGCCTCCTCGTAATATAGTTGATGGCAGATTTTGTTCACGTAAGAAAAACTGGAAAAGGCAGCCTGGGCTTCTCGCAGGTCCCTTGCGACTTCTGAGATGCCTCCCTCGTGGTTGAGCAGTATATCTCGCGTTGAGCCTGCTCCATTTCCCGGCCTATTGACGCGAAGGTACGAAGCTATGAGTTCCAAAAGCTCCAAAGAAAGGTCTGAGAATTGTGCCATGGTGACGTGCGGGGAGACGTCGGACTATTATAAGCCCAAGATGGGATGTCGAGTCTGAAGCTGCAGTGAAAGTTGCGAGCGAAAGAAGGAAGCAATTATTGGCGCATCGACTGGATCCATATTTGGTAGCGCTGCGATGATTGGACGGAAACAGGGACTGCCCTGTAAGAAGGAATCGGCTGGTCATGTGATCCGACGGACATGATGCCTTGAGTCTCAAGATGACCACGCAGAGATCGATTGTTCTTGTCTACAGGGCTGCTGAGTAAGAATTCCCATTTTACATACAAGAATGGCTAATGCCGAGGCGGTGAAAAATCTCGATAAAAATTAGATTGGGTTTTCGACGACGACGCCGGTGGGAAAAAGAGTACAGCCATAGGAAAAGTCGCCGGCGTTGCAAAGGAAAAATAGGCGGTCTCTCAAACAATAGCCCTCGTGGACTAGAATCTACCATTTCGAAAAAAATGTTGCCAAAACAAGAAAATAAAAAATCAAATAGCCAAATGATTCTTGAAGGCTTTCCCAGCTCCTCGCGATACCCTTTCTTCTCGTGGATCAAACTCAAAGAACCCCGTTGTAAGTGAGAATGCTTTGGTCGAATGCGAAAACAAAGAGCTTTTGACCTAATGATGTTTGTAAGGCACTAACTGGAATATTCAATGTGAAATATGCCTTTTGGGATGGAGTATGCTGGAAGCCTCGCGACTGACTTTCCAGTCATCTCAACCACCCCCTGCCTCCAAGGCCTTTACTACTTTAACTCGCTTCTCTGACATCGTTCACTGTGATTTGCGCGTCGATTTCTCTCACCCAAACCAACCAAGTTGACCCTGTTCTCCATTCCAGAACCGACGTGCACCATGGCTCAGCTTGGCGATCTTCCCCCGGAGCTCATCCTCACCATCTTTTCTCACTTGCGCTTGGGTCTGCCAATGCATGACCTGTTCGTATGGCCAGGAGACATCGATGAGCAGGGACAAATCACCGGAGTCAGATGGAACGACCTTCTCAACTTCTCACTCCTGAACCGCCACTTCCGCCGAATTGTCTCCGACAAGCTGTACACACAGATCAGGATCCACGGCAAGCTTCCAATACCGAGACTCGTATCGCTATTGCGGTTCGTCACAGCGCATCCTCACGCAGCTGCCGACGTGAGGCAGGTGTACATCAACCTCGATCCGTGGACGACCGGATCTGCATTTCTTCAACTGGCGGACGTAGACTTCATCCAGACCGCGGCCGCGAAAGTCGGAATTACCTATCCACAAGAAATATTCCACTGCGACGATCGACTCGCTGGTGCTTCGGAAGAGAGAGAAATCGGCCTTGGAATTGGTGGTTTTTTAGAGCTGGAACACCTGCGACTCCAGGTTCTCGTCAACATCTCGCTTGCTCATCTCAAAGGAACGCAGGAACTGGCGCTCACCTGCGCCTACGGCATATTCAGAAATTTCGGTCTCAACGACCTAGCGAAGCTGCCGGGATTAATCGATGTGGGAGAAGCTGACGATAGCACCAGTACCGCTGACAAGAGACCAATGGTGGTGAGCAAGCCCTGCCTTCCGCAGCTGTTCTCTCTTGTCACGACACGTATTATACCGAACCGGCTTATCGGATTCGATGGAGATGAGATTGCGAATCTTCTCTGCATCGGCCCAAAAATTACTCGGCTGTGTCTTGCTGAAGCTGGACTGGATTTTAAAATTCAAAAGAGCGAAAATTGGACGAACAATTCTCATCTGACCCTGACTACCCAGCACATAGGCACCGTAGCCGTGCGCAGCATCGCCAATCACTGCAGCGCTTTGTCGACCTTTAAGTATTTGCCAGAACTGGGATTATATGAACCGACAGCGTCCAGGCCGGCTCAGCTCAGGGAGGTGATTGGCGCTCTGCGCAAACATGCGAACACGTTGCGCACGCTATGCATTTCGTCCTTAGCGCACCTTCCTAGCGGTTCCATCACCATGCCTGTTTATACGCTCAATGGCTTCGTCGCCCTGGAGAATCTCTGGATTGATAGAAGGACCATTACTGGAGACTCGGATGTGTTCCCGCGGATGCTGGATGGAATTGGAATGGTGGATCCAAGAGAAGGGTTCATCCGGTCTTTACCACGTTCCATGAAAAGGCTCCATTTGCAGAGTGCTTCACATCTATCGAGCGCGGGACTTTATTGGCTTGCTGGCAACAGCAAGTTGTTCCCGGACCTTATCAGAGTTGAGCTGGACGTATGGCCAAAGGGCGATGGTGATACGCCAGAAGAGGTGGTTCAGAAGCTTTTCCTGCAGGTTGGGGTGGACGCGCGGACGGGGCGAGATATGGTTCGGGACGCCCGCTTATGGGATCGATATTTCTGAGAGTGGCATAAGTTGTCGCGTCGTGTGTTGTTTGCTTTTTTTGAGGATGTTCTGAGAAAATGAAAAGGGGCCTGCAGACAGGGGTCAGCCATTCGAGGTGCGAGACGGTAGTCGGCCGGGCCCGGGCCCGAGGCCCGAACCCCGGCCCGAATCCCGCCTTTACGTAAGGGATCGGCCACACCACTTTGTAGCCAGGCGCGCCCGGCGCTCGTAGCTAGATTAATCAAGCCACTTCACGCACGAGGAGACTTACGTGGTCACGTGATATCGTACCACACTTCGCGTCTGTCACGCGCCGAGACTTTAATTAAGGTAGCTACATCCCGTCCAACAACGTCACCTTTTCAATGTTCAAGAATGCTGTGCCCACTGCAACAAAGCAAAAATGTCACGAAATAAGAACATGAACAAGACCAAGCGACAGAGAATCAAAAAGAGACAGAATAAAGACGCCCAAAAGCCGAATACATCCTCACGAGCTGCATCCGCGAAGTTGATCCAGAAGCAGAATCCATTCTCGCGGCTGACACCGGAAATCCTCACTAACATCTGTTCCCTGCTATTTCCCACTCACCACAACCTGCAAGATGTCTTCGAGGTAGACGGCCCTGCGATTATCCACCATCGCTGGAAAGATGTTTACAACTTGTCACTGGTCGACCAGAGGTGCCGCACAATCGTCAGCCCGTTCCTGTACCGCAGCATCCCCATTCCAGGACCGCGCTCCCTGACCAAGCTGCTGTCCTTCGTGCGCTTCTTGACCGACAAACCAACAATTGCCCAAGGAATCAAGCAGCTCTACCTCCAGCTCGAAGTAGTGAACTCAGGCGTGACAGCGGTCAGCCAGGACGATGCCAAGTGGGTGATGAAGCAGGCTGAGGAGACCGGCACCACTTTCTGCGAGTGCAAATGGAGGGACCTACCGCACAAGCAGGAGTTCGAGTGGAAGGGCACCAAACGAGCGCAGAGCCGCGTGCCTGAGAGGCCGATGAAGCGGTACACCGACGAAGTCGAGACCCGGAACTGGGACGAGTGCCAGCGCATGGAGACGCTTCTTCTGATTCTGCTGCGTCGCCTCCCCGGTCTTGTCGACCTTGGTCTCGAGCACGGCAAGCGCGTGTTCTCCCACGCGTACACAGCTCTGGAGAATCAAAGGCTAGATGCGGGGGACCGCAAGAGACAAAACCTACCACAAGTGCCACCCCGAGTGACCCTCCCCTCGCTGCCAACCGTCCGATCCGTGGCCATGAAGATCAACCGCAGCGCCACCGAGTGGCAAAATGTCGATGACAAGGACGTGCGAATCCTCATGGAGATGTGTCTCAAAGCCGAGCGGCTCTCCGTCGAGGAACTGAAGCCCGTAGGACGCCTCATGCCTTGGGTCAACCCGAACAACCCCCACCTGTTGCCATGGCTGGGTTCTGTCCGCAAGCTCACACTGACCAACTCAAGAAGCGTCGAAAACTTGAGGGAGATGGCCGCCGTGGCCCTCTACATCCGGAGCTGCCCCGTGCTGGAGGAGTTCAGGTTCATGGCGAAATACCGCGAGACGCGCGAGGGAACGCCCCACCGGGTGCGGGTTCCCCAGGAGGCCATGCTCTTCCTCGAGAATGCTCTGACGGCGATGCATTTCTGGTGCCTCAACACGCTCGTGCTCGACTTCCGCCACTGCACGCAGTCGGGTAGGCCCCCTGCCTGGGGCCGCCTCCGCGAATATGCCAACTTGAAACACATCTACCTGAACCTGGGGCACCGCATTCCCCAGGGAAGCGAAGGCTACCGCGACAGGAATAAGATGGATCGCGAAGCCACAGAAGTGTTGAAGGCTCTACCGCCGTGCGTCCGCGTCGCCAGGCTCGCCGGCGAGTTCTGGCAGCCGAAGCCGCTGAAACGGCTCATCCGGAACCACAAGAGAGTCCCGTATCTGCGTGACATCGAGGTGGAGGGGCGAGATGACAGTGACACGCTTGCGATGATGGCATCCCTTGGAGAGAGGTTCGCGCAGTGCGGTACGGGAGGAGGGGAGCTTAGGAGTCCCCAGAGCAGCAAACCGGTTGTTGTCGGCAGTTCAGCGGCAAAGATCTGGCCGCGGCCGGTGCGGTCGGAGTGGGGGGAGGATGCCCCCGAGATCCTGAGGTGGGCCAACAGGGAGATGATTGTGTACGGGACGAGGAAATACCCGGGGCCGGGCGCGAAGCTGGTCGTGCAGAAACGGACGACTACCCCCGCACCCAGGAAGAAGACAGAAATGCCGATGCCTGTCTGATTGGAGTGGATGCATCCTGCCACGGAGCCGGGGAAGGAGCCCACTCTCAGGACGACGAACATGCCCAGAGAAACGCCCATGGCGATCTGGCCGAATTATGAAGACGCGCCTCGCTCGGTTCGTGAAAGCATGCGAATCATAGGGGCCACGCCGGCTGGCCCGGCGGACGCGGCCCGGGCCACGAAGCGGCTTTGGGCCCTAGTAAGGCAAGCAGCGAGTCCGTTGCCTCTATCATGAAGAATTTTGCATTTGAGCGTGTTCTTTGAGCTTTCTGGCCGGCTCATGGCCAAACATGACGATCGGGGCTATATCATGATGGTGGTAACAAAGTTGCAAATTTCAAATACCAGCAGCAGCGTAAATATATCCTAAGAGATCCTGTCACTGCGAGTACAGGTTTGGAGTTGCCTGTGCCGTCATGACCCTGATTATGCCTGGTTCCAGTCGAGTCACCGGCGAGAACCCGGCCTTTTGCATGGCCGCAAGGGTTGCAAAGGTCGTCCACACAGGAACCTAAACGCTTGTTTGTCTCCAATGCTGCACGACCTCTCAGTTCAATCTGCTCCAAGGCAACCTCTTTTGTTCCGACACAACTATTATTCCCATGTCACCGCGCCCGATCAGACTGTGTCATTCCCAACAGACCTGCTCTCTCCAGTCTCTTTCCACGTCATCATGGCCAGCATCACAGACCTCCCAGCCGAACTAATCGACAACATCCTCGACCTCGCCACGACAGAAGTCTCAGACGACACAGCCGTCGAGTCCCTCGGCCCGAGACGCATCGCCGACTGCCCGTCCATTGTGCGCCAACAAATCATCAACGCCCTCGCACCCACCTGCCGCAGGTTCCATGAGTTCTTTAAACAGGAGCAGCACCGCGTCATCTTCCTCACCAAGAAAAACATATTCCCGCGGATGGTCAAGCTCCACCGGGTGCTGGGCTCTACCCCACAACCACAGATGTTCCAGAACACGACGCAGTTCGTCGTGGACTATGAAGAGGACCCGTTCCTGCCGCGGAGCTATGGAGATAAGGCCGGCTACGGGAAGATAGCCAACAAACTTGACTCTCTAAAAGGTGATACGCGGAAAGCTGGCTTCAAGGGTATGGACGAATACTGGGTTTCTATGGATCAGGTCGGGCGCGAATACATCGGGCCGCATGTGCCGTTGCAGCGCGGGCATGGTCATAGGCTGGGTCTGCTGGCGCAGCTGATCCTGCTGCGGCTCCCGAACGTCGAGGGGGTCGCTTTGCCTTATTGCATGATGGACCTTCTGCAACCCCTGGACGTGTTATGTACGAATGTGAGATTCCGACAGAGATTCCCACCGCGGCTCACATCCCTACGTGTAACCAAAGTCGACAATGGGGATGGGCACCCTGGAATAACCGGTATGATACCCAGTCGCTGCGGGATCTTCGCAAAGTACGGCTACATCAAGGACCTCCTCACCAGCGACCTCCAAACGGGCCTCCCACCCGCGGAGTTCATCGCATTCAGCTGGCTCACCCGCCTCGTCCTCTGGCACTGCGCCGTCATCGACCCGAACCACTTGGACCAGGCCCTGAAGCGGCTCAACAAACTGCAGACCTTCGTCTACACGGTCAAGAGCTCGCCTACTCCTAGGCGATTTCTATGCCCCATGTACGAACAGTATCTGGCGCTGCGGTTCCCCGAGACCCTGACGACGCTCTGCATTGACGCGCCGTTGGATTATTGGTACGAGCGGTACGGACTGGCGCCGGTGTTCGGTGGCCTGCAGAAGCTGGAGAACCTGTGGGTGAACGCGCATAATCTGAGCCTGTCGGGGCTGGGGAACGGGGTTGGGATTCTGAAATCGACGAGTCGGCACGATCGCGGCTACGACCGCATCGAGATGGTGACGGAGGAAGGCGATCTGAAGTGCGTGCCGAAGTCGTTGAAGAGGCTGCACATGTTGGGGGAGATAGGGCGCATTCGGGAGGATGTGAAGTGGCTGGAGGAGGCGGTTGGTAGTGGGAGGCTGCCGAATCTGGAGGAGATCGCGGTGGAGACGACGGTAGAAGATGAGGACGGTCCGGAAGGGGACTTTTGGACACGGTATGAGGCGGATCTGTGGAGTTTAGATAGAGAGAAGCTTGAGGCGGAGGGCGTTAGATATTTAGGTGAGGTCGACCCCAGACCATACATGTGGTAGGAGTCCGGGGTCTATCAAAGGCATGCGAGCATAGCAGGATACGAACAGTTATTTTATGTAACTATCGTTACTGTATTTTTGGCGCGGGAACCTTTCTGTCTTTGCTATGATCTAGCCCAACGCATCTGCGAATCTTCCGAAGCCAAAGTCAACCAAACGTGGCCAGATTCCAAGCAATCCCATCTCCAACTGTCAACATCCACATCAAGACTATAATTCAGAAGGATGCTCGACTACTGCTTGTAGCATCCGCCGTTCTTGAAGGTGGCGGGGATGCCGCAGGTGGTAGACTCGATGGCCTCCTTGACGCACTTCTCGTTGCTGTCCCCCTTAAACCAGGAGAACATGTCCAGCTCCAGGGAGACGCCCTTGCCGAGGTCGGTCTCGAAGACGTCAGTCTGGCACTTCTTGACCTTGTAGCGGTCGGGGCCGTCGCCGTCGGGGCAGGTGAAGCGGATGGCGGCAACGAGGTTGTCGCACCAATTGGTCGAGTCCTGGCCGGTGGGCTGGATGTCGATCTTGTACTTGAGGCGGTCGTTGGCCTCGTCGAAGCGCCAGGAGCAGTCGGCCTCGGTGGTCAGGCCCTTGCTGGGGTCGACGAAGGCGCAGGTGAGGTCGGGGTCGATGCCGGGGGGAGGGGTGGCCTCGGCGGGGGTCTTGGTCTCGATGAGGAGAGGGGCGTGGCTGACGGTGGGGTCGGGTGCGGGAAGGAAGCGGAGGTCCTTGGCTGCCTGGGTGCTCATGAGGATGTCCGAGTCGGGGCCGATCTCCATGAGGCTCTCGTCGTCGCGCTTGAAGATGGACGGGCTGGGAGGGCTGTCGTCTCTGTCGGCGGACCAGTAGCGAGTGCTGCAGACGCTGCTGCGGTAGCAACTGAGGAGTGTTACTTGAGCTTCAATGAGACAAGGAGGAGATGATGACGACTTACCCCTCGTTGACCCAGTTGGTCAGGACAGGGTGGTTGAAGCACATGGAGAAGTGGATGGCCCACTGGACCTCCTCCATGAAGTCCTTGCCCTCGGGCCAGGGCCAGCTGATCTTGTAGCGGAGGAAGAGGCCGTTGCCGTTCTCGTTGGCGTTCCACTTGCGGTCGCACATGAACCAGTAGGTCCAGTTGTCGGTGAAGTCCTGGATCTTGGTGATGAGCATCTCGCACCACTTCTCGCTGGACATGCCGACGGGGTCGATCTTGATCTGGTACTCGAGGTGGTTATCGAAGCCGCAGTTCTCGAAGGAGTAGCTGCAGTCGATCTGGGGGACGATGTAGCGCTTGATGATGTCGGTGCAGTTGTGGTCAGGAAGAGGGCCAAAGTCATCACGGATGGTGATGCCAGTGGTGTTGACCAGGCTGACCTGTCCATCGGAGGAGGTGGTGATGGCGGTCTTGGGGCCGAGGCCAGGGCCAGTATTGGCGATGGCGGCACTCAGGGCACCAGCAGCAAGGGAGGCCTGGACGAGGACACGCGGGATCATCATCGTGAAGTCTTGCTTGGTGTTTGAGTTCTTGACGGTGATGATGATGATGAGAGAGTGTGGAGGGGAAGAGGGGAGGAGAGTTGGGTTTGTGTGGGTGAGAACGAGAAAATCCTCACGGCTTGTGCAGAGTGAAGAGGGCTGCCTTTGTTTTTATTCTTTTCGAGGCGCGTCAGGTTGTGTACCATCCTTAAGCGAGGCAAAGGTGAGAATAACAAAGACTGATGAGGCAGGAGGCAGGTGAGAGGCAGAGCCGTGCCTTCCTTCAAAAGTAGGAAGAGGTTGAGCTGTGAGATGAGCCTACTCATTCACCCTCAGTCTCCTGGGCTGCCAACCAGACCCAAGCTTAGTTGTGACCTTGAATTAGGAAGGCCACCCAATTAGCACCACGTAAGCCTAGAATACTTGATACTTATCTCTGTTTAAATGTGTTGAAGAAATGTCCTGCCTAATTTTCGAGAGACTGCTTGATTATCCAATGTCTACATGGCTATTTCTATGTCCCAAGGACTGAAATGCTTTCACTCAAATCAACAAGATTGCTTTTCGGCATCAAGCATATATAACTATCTATTGATTTTCGGCCCAGCTTAGGCAATCTGTTTTTGGGTTTTACTATTCGTGGAAATGCTGTTGCTTTGGTCGCCACTTCGTTCGTCGTCGTCGTTGCCGCCGCCGCCGTTGTCTCTGTTTTCTATCGTCATCTTAGTCATCTCTCGTCGTCGTCGGTTTAGTTGCTGTAATCATTCGTAGTTGTAGCTGTATCTTCTATTCTCATTATTATTCACCATGGTCATCTTTGCCCCCACTGTGGTCGATCGAAGGATAATTCCAAGATTGTAATGTAGGCTGCATCTGGTACTTTTCTGCTGTCCGGATCGAATATTGATATGAAGATTAAAGCTTATCAATATGGTATAAGCAGAAAAGCTTCAATTCAATAATGGGAAGGCATCACATAAATCGGAGCTTTCCTGATTGGGGTGTTATTCAAGTGAAGCCATCGTGAGGAATCAAGCCACATGCAAGATGAGGTAATCTTGGAGGCGCCACAGCCAGCCCGAGTCAGCCACAGGACCCCCACATATGCAGCCCAACGAGGCACCAATCCGATGGATGCACCGGAAGGGAGCTTGTGAAGCTGCAGCTGCTGCATTGCGGTACGTACCGATCGGCCCCTGTGGCCCTGCACTAATTCGCAGGCGCCATTGGAACCAGCGAGCCCGGTACAGCGGCCAGCGGCCAGCTAGCAGGACGCGGTCGAGTCTCGGAATGACATTTCGCGACGCCTGACACTTGACACTTTATGCACCCGCCAGAGCAGAGCTCCATCTTTGCATTTCGCTTCATCTTCCCCTTAGCAGCAGCTGCCGATTCCTCAACCTCCACCGACCGACCGACCACCGTTGACGACACTCCTGAACGACGTGGACTGCCGAATGCCACACACCGACCGCCTCGATCCTATGCGCAACTGAGCCTCTTCCCCTTCCTGCTGGAAATGCCTGCGGAGACGAAACCATGGACTTTGTGAGTGCTGGAGCCCCCCTTCTAGCTTGCCGGCTGGCGATGGCTTCACCCCCTTGCTGACCTTTGATACTGCAGTGGTCGCGCCTCCTAGCGGGCACTTCGCTCTCCCCCTCCAACAACCGCAAGGTCGACGCCGCAAAGGACCCCACGAAACGCTTGCACCGGTTCGATAAGGAATACAACCGCATCTTGGTGAGCTCTGCCGCGGAACGTACACCATCGCCGGAGCTTTGGACCCTGACTAGTCTCCCATTAGCAAATCTGGAGATCCTCCTCAAACCTCGCCAATGACGTCGACGCCGCCGAAACCCTCGAGATCAGGCTCCAAGAGCTGACCAACATCCTCAACGACGAGTCCCGACGCCCTCTCCCCCACCCCTGCATCCAATATGCCGCGAAGAAACAAGTCTACGTGCCCATCGGCAAGATAGCGACCACATCGTATAACGAGTGGATTATCAAGGAGGCAGTTCTTTTTTTCGCGACCCTGCTCGAGACCGAGGAGGAGGCCTTTGTCGAGAACGTCACCTTCTCCGCCAGTCTGACCAACCTGCTGGTCCGCATCACCGGCGTCAACAGCGTTCGCCTGGGTTCCGACACCGAGGCCAAGGTTGTCGAGCTGGCGTTTAATATCACCACCAAGATCCGCCTCAACCGGGACATCCTGCACGCCTGGTTCAAGACCAACCACGATGGCGCCCCGAAGGTCAATCCCCAGGACGACCAAGGCTCCTTTGCCGGCCGGACCCAACGGCAGGACTTTCCGCTATTCTACATTTTGATGGACTACATTCACCACGAGGGCAAGGTTGGAGATTTTGCCAGGACGGGACTGCTGTACATCATTGAGTCGGCATCCAGCGACGAGTCGTTGGAGCAATGGATTGTCGAGAGTGATCTGTCCACGTTGATGGCGACGGGTCTGGGAGCCCTCTACAGCCAGTTGAGCCGGAAGCTCGTCATCGACTACCCTACCAATGGCCTCCCCGCGATTCTGGCCTTCTCAGACTACGAGCGTCCCACATCCACCTTTGAAATCATCAGCTCCTGCTCTGGCGACTTCCAGGGCCACATCGAAACCTTCCTCTCCCATCTCCTCTTCTGGCAGGACGTGCTGGACCACTGCAAGTCGGTCGAGGTGAAGCAGACACTTCTGGAACACTTCCAGGTCATTTTCCTGCAGCAGCTCCTGTACGGCCCCCTTCCGTCTGATATCAGGAGACCTTTTACTGACTGAGCGTGCAGATACCCTTCGCTGCTGGAGTCGTCTGATATTGATGGAGGCTCGTCCGTTGCCGTTCTTACGTATCTCCGCCGTATCCTAGAATCTCTTGATCACCCGGACATGATCAACCTCATCCTCCACTACCTCCTCGGCCTTCCTGACCATGTCTCGACTGGCCCCTCAAGTGGTGGGCGCGCTTCCATCAGCGCAGCTCGCAAGCGCAAGTCCATGGATCTTGCCACCATGCTTGCCCAGACGCAATCCGACATCACCGCTACACCTCTGCTCTTTAACCTCGTTGATCTCATCCAAGCGTGTTTGCGCTCCCATAACCAGCAAACCATTCGTGTTACGCTCCAGCTAGTCTCGGCCATTTTTAAGAGACACCATCGCTATGCTGTGGGCACGCTCTTGCGCACGGAAACAGTGATTGGCGACAAGATGCATCGCACGGTCGGAGCACACGAGCAGGAGGTCGACTATCTCATGAGCCTGGCTGGTTCGATTGGCGGCCAAGACAACTTTGATGAAATCTACGAGAATGTCCTGAAGGATACAATGACCCGACTGGAGGGCCATCCCTGCTCTTTGAAGCTCGTCGCCCCCAAGATTTCTACCAACAACCATGACCTACCCGCTATTCCTGATACGCTTCCTGGGGCGCCACGCGACGTGCACGAGCACACGCTCCGACCGGACGATCCCATGCTCAACACAGTGCTGGACCTTCTCGAGACCTTCTTCATGAACCCTGTTGATACAAACCTCTCTC